TTATGTTTTAGTAGCTAGTTGATTATTTATCTTAGACTTTATTCAAAATATTTACAGTAATAAAATGTAAGTACGTGTATGTTATTCATATCCTAATTAATCGAAATTTGGAAAACATGATACAGGTGATTACGGTTGGTGGAGCTTTTGTGGGATGCAATAATAAAATTAAAAAAAAGAAAAAAAAGGAGAATTTTAATTTTAGAAACTGTGTTACTCCCAATAAAACAGCATTAATCTGAGAGAAAAAAATATGTTACAAGAAAATGAAATACTTAATTTGAGTTTGAGATAAAATATAAAATTTATCTTTACCCCAAAAAATAATAGTAGATATAGAGATACAAACATTTCTAAATCAATTAAAGGTTGTTTTATTTACGGCTGGTTGCTTTCTGAATATCGTTTATTAAGAAAATGTAGTTTATAATAGTAACAATTTTTCAATCTCGTATATTTTTTCTGAAAGAGGAAAATGTTTCCCCAGACAGCAATTAACTGTAACATAATTCACATGGTATTTAAACTGTTTGCAGATAAGAATGTCTATGAAATCGTCAAATAAAACAAGGCTGTATCTTGATCTGTTAAACTACGATTTGTTCAGGTTTCAGGGCTAGCGTATATACAGCCTCGCAATTTTCCATGGAGGCAATTATTATAGAGAGACTCTGGCTAAAATATAGGGAGTTTGTTAAACCTTTAAAATAAATACTTCTTGTGAAAGTGTACAAAATGTATATGTTGGGCGCATTAACCGGGCCTATATGGGTACATTAACCTCGCCTGTATGGGCACATTAACCTCGTCTATATAATAGGAACATTACCTAGTCTATATTGATTCATTAGTCTCGTATGGGGACATTAGCCTCGTCTATACGGGTACATTAACTTCATCTACTAAGCAGCAACAGAAACGTCAGGTTGGTATGTTACTATGAATAGACGCATTGCATAAAACTTGCCAAATGTTTTTATTGTATATTTGTGACCACATCTCCAACTTTACCTGAGCAATAAAGCTCCTTCCCAAACACAGAATTGAACCCAGGAAATGTTCTCAAAAACGCAACCTGACTTCGGAGATGGTAACTCATGCTGCACGTGCTGTTCGCCGGGACCAGCCCTAAAAAATGCACCCCCATACCTGGTTGAATCATTCACACTACAAAGTCAGCAGCATGCCACGACTCACGACAGCTCAGAGGAACCAGGCGCTTGGAAGACTCGACGCTGGCCAGACAGCCCAAGCCGCTGCCAATCACTTCTAGGTCAATGTGCGGACCATCTATAGGCTTCAGCAACGCTTTCGGACAACCAACACCACGGATGATCGCTCCAGAACTGGTAGACCAAGGGTTACTACAAGGCGACAAGACCGCCATGTTGTGCGACAGCACGTGCAGAATCCCTTCACACAGGCATCTGAGACAGCCCATCAGACAGTGGGAACACACGGAAGACCCATCAGTACCGATACAGTGCGCCGACGTCTCACCAGAGAGAACATCCTTTGCCGTAGACCTTACCACGGACTGATCCTCACCCCTCGCCATCGACGTGACCAGCGTTATTCTGACTAATGTGTCATGGAACGAGACACACGGGGAGGTCCACGCATAATGGTTTGGGGTGGAATCGGCCTGAACCAGAGAGTGGGTCCTGTGGTGTTCCAAAATCTTGGTCCAGGGAGAGGAGGCGGCATCACAGCAGTGCGCTACACCCACGTCATACCACATTTCGCACGTCATCGCAACAACGTTTTCCAGCATGACAACGCCCGTGCCCACACCGCCAGAGTTACTCGGGACTTTCTACAGCAGAACGGTGTCAACGTTATGCACTGACCAGCCCTTAGTCCCGACTTAAACCCGATTGAACATCTTTGAGATGAAATTCAGAGGAGACTTAATAACGTCGTACCGAGACCAAACACAACCGATGGATTGCGCCAGGCTTTTCTGAGAGTGTGGTTCCAGGTGCCAATGGCGTTCATCAATCGTGTGGTCCACTCCATGTACAGGTGCTGCGCTGCTGTTATTGACCCTTGCGGTGGACACACCAGATACTGATGTATAGACTGTGTACAGACTCTAAACCTTCTGGTAATATCTTGGAATTGTGATGAATTAATCACTAATGTGTTAACATACTGTTCACAAAAAATTGGTATGATCCATTTAGTAAGTCGTTTTCTAAAATGATTTGATTAAAGTGCCTCTCTGATTTTGAAATCGTACTGACGTTTTTTTGCTGTTCAGATTGGTATATTAGCCTCGTCTGTATGGGCACATTAGCCTCGTCTATACGGGTACATTAACCTTGTCTATACTGGTACACTAGCCTCATCTGTATGGGGACATTAACCTCGTCTATATTGGTACATTAGCCTTGTGTATATTAGTACACTAGCCTTGTCTGTATGGACACATTAGCCTCGTCTATATGGGGACACAATATTAGCTACGTCTATATGGGGATATGATTTCCGTTTTGTTATGGTAGCCTCGTTTATATAGGCACAGTATATAGTACCCTTGTTTATATTGGTGTAGCCTGTCTATATTGACATAGTAACCGCGTTTATAATAGATAACATTAGTTTCGATTATATGGGTATTTTGGCCTGGTCGTTATGAGTATGTTTGTAATCTTGGTTTACATGGGTAATTTATTCGACGCTAAAACGATGTGTTTTAGGAGATATATACCAAATCCCGCGATTTCTTAGTTGTACATTTCATTGGTAATTATGCTTTGATTGACACCTTTTCACGTATAGCTGGTCATTATTGTACTTTACAGAAAATATAAAATTTACATAATAACACTATTAATAGAATTATCAAATAAGTAATAACATTAAATGTTTCTGTGATATATATTACCCAGAGATAAATCAAAAACCCAGATAGAGATCAACCTAAGGTTAAGGAGAATCACGGATTGGAAGAACAAGAAAATCATTGAATTTCGTATAAAATAAAAAAAAGGGAAATCATTATTTTCGTATTTAATAGTTTAAACGGTGAAATGTTTTCATGGCCAATTCCTCGGCTGGTCGTGGGAGATAAGAAACTGCCTCTGGACATTCCATCATGGTCGATGATTACTTTTGAGAATGAGCCAAATGCGCAAATAACCATTAACTAGTGTTTAAAATAACCAACAACAAAATAATACAAAAAAATCAATAAATAAAAATAAGTGATAGCATGGCCTAGTTTTAAAATTGTGTTAAAAGAATGAAACGTGAAGTAAACAGCTTAAAGTATCATATATAGGGACGCCTTTTGATAGTCCCGTCATACAAGACTTAGACAGAAAGCTCCCTGCGAAAAAAAACGCAATTATAGGAAGATGTATAATCTATGAATTGGGTCAATTGTAACAAAATAGATTTCAAAATCTATGTAGAGTTAAACTTAAAAATGAACTTACAATTTCTCAAGCAATCCACCCAGATATTCCAATGCCTTTTTGGAATTTAGAAAATGATTAATGGAATGAACGTATATGATGTTAAATTCATTATTCGCTATGGAGGTCTCTAGACTACATAAATATTGTTATTATGATATTAATATGGTTCAGTTAATTTACCAGAAATTACATATAAACGTAATGTCAACACATATGTCGTTACTACGATATATCTTAACGTAAACTACCCATTAAAGCGGCAGTACGTGCATGGAAGCCAGAATAATTTGTCATTAATCAGCCTCTAATATTATACTAGATGTTGCGTAAAAACATTAATTTAGGAGTTTAAACAGTTTAGGCATTGTAATGGTTTAGGGATTGTAACGGTTGAGGCACTTATTCATTCAATATTCTTCAAGAATGCCCACAGTTATGCCCATAACGTCACTACCTGTAAATAAACGTTATTTTAGTGTGGACGAATTTAAGAATTAGAGTTTTCAAACGTTATATTCGAAAAATATGAAATTGTCATTTTCAAAAACTTGTGTTGATAACCATATATTTTGTGTTTTATGCAAAGACTAGACTTATTTGAAATCCAATTTTGTCTTCCTTCCCGATTTTTGAATTATGATTTTAACTTTTAAATATTCCCGTCAACGTAAATTATAATTATACTTTAATGCTATATTGAGATACGTTCTCAATAACTTTAAGACTATTCACATTATCTCAATAAAGAATTTGGGCTGACTCTCATTGGCGTTTGGCCTGTTTTTATCAATAACTGTTGGCAATAACTTTAAACGTTAGGTTTGTTCTCTATAACTTTGGGTATGTTTCCTTTTTATTATTAATATATAAAGCATGTTCTCAACAACGTATGCTTGATAAAGACGAGAGTGTCATCATCGAATCGTTGCATGTTAATAAACCAGTAATTGTTATTCCATAAATAGTTTTTATTGTGTTACTGTTCAATTACTAAATGTCACTCAAAGAAGAACTTATGACGTGCTCTTCATAACTTCAGACCTGTGAAATCGTGATATCGATGGGCGCCGAGAAGTCAAATGGTACCCATTACATATAAAAATCTGAACTACTCTTTAACGTGTGTGTGTGATTTTTCTATCAAAAGTTTTAAACAAAAAGTAATGAGGCGAACGGAAGGGATTCCATTTGGTTGTAGTACGTGATGGGAAACGTGTAACCACGTCGAGACGTAAAATACATTAAAACTAAACATGGCCGTCACTCGTCAACTTTTGTGTTTTGATTTACACGAAACACACTGTCTGGCTCCTTGACATCTAAAATGTAGCTCCTGTAGAATTTCAGAGAGGAAAAGTATGATTTGGAGAAGGCCAGTATCCAATGAATATATACCAATACAAAACCACATCTATACGAATAATGTATCATAGATGATTATACAGTGACATGGATTTATAGCATTTCTTTGCTGATCAACATATCTGCCAAACTGTGTAATACAGAGGAATGCTATTTCATCGGTTATAAATTTCCAATTCAAAGATATCTGTATTCTATCTTCTGTATTTTCAGAAAGCCATGTTTTTCTACGCCACTTTCCTGCTGTTTACCTCAGTACTCGGGTACGGAAACTATCGATTGAGGATACCAAATGGTGACAAAGTTCCGGATCCCTGTAACCCAAGTAAAATATGGCGTGGTGTCGGCCACCTTGGGGCAGATGGTGGTGGAGCCAGAAACCCTTTTGGGGTTGATTTTGAAAAACACGGAAAGGTAAGGTGTTTGAAATTAGGTTAGGATCCAAGTTCTGCAAAAAAACATGAGGTGAAATGAAATGGAGTTAAAAGTCCTACTGTTCTGCGAATGAAGACCGGGATACGCTGTAGTGTGTGCTATGCGGAAAAAGATATGCCCGGAATTCCAACTGTCAAGGGTCTTATTTCGAATTCCAACTGTCAGGGGTTCTTTTACGTGTACGCCAATGTGTACACGGGATGTCAATTTTTCGACCCATCCGAACGATTATACGCTGTTCCATGCTAGACCCCCCCCCCCCATGTCCTGCACCACTGACAATAGGGGACCACGCCTCCAGGTTAGCGAACCAACGTCTTAATCACTGAGCCAAGTTGGCAAACATACATGACACCAGCGTATACGCTGTTAATCATCGCTTTATCTTCCCTGTGTTCCGTCTTTATTAGTCCGGTTATTACAAAAATGGAGGACAGCAAAAGCCATTTCATTTCATTTCATTCCTCTTTTTAGTCATAAAAAGTAAAAATAGGCGTCCCATGAGCAATATTTCTCAACACTACATTTTTTTAATGTTTTCTTTTGGAAGTGGCTGGTAATTTGTGCGGCGAGCACTGGTTTCACCATGCACCTTATAATACAAGGGGTACGTTTTCCACTTACTAGCCTACATTATAAATGTTAAATCGTTTCAGAAAAGTTATTTAGACCAATATGTTATTGCTTGTATTACAGTTATGGACAAGATTATGTAAATTAGATTCTGATGGTGACGGTATGACAAATGGTGAAGAACTCGGTGATCCTAGATGTGTTTGGGCGCCTGGAATGGTTCCACCGAAGGCAAAGAAAACAATATCACACCCAGGTAAAATATCTTTTAATCTCAATTAGTTAGCTTAGAGACTGCAGAATTATAATCTTTCATTCTGATTCTGATTTGTAAATATCCTTACACGTTGTAATTATTTTGTTCGAAATGTTGCCAAAAAAAAAAGATAATTATTGTTTTCTAAACTGTAAGTGAGGCGAATGAAATAATATGAGTAGGCCACGATAAAAGCTTCTTTTCTCAAGGCCTGGCTTCTGTCATGAATTGTCTGTTTCATATCACATATCACATACCATCTGTCTATTTCTCTTTAATTATACGGCCCTATAAATAGATTACGACTTTTCGTCGGTTGTATGTGCACTACTGGTAATCAATCCACCGCCGACAAATTATACAATAGATGAAGGTCATTTTTTGATTTGATCTTTGACACTGTATATATACAAATTCGGTGCTATTTTGACTAGACTATGTTCGTCCTCAGTATCTCCAGTGGTCTCATTCCGTTCTACTCCACTATACCCTGGGTTAATCCATTTATAGGGTTTCTACGATTTCAAATTACCTGCCCTGGCCTTGATTGTGGCTAAAGTCTACGGACAAATAAAAAAAAACAGTTTACAGACCAGTCTAACTAATGAAACGGCCTTGGTTTCGCGTTCGTTTTATAAGGGTAGATAACCATATTCATGTCCATTTATTGAATGATTTATGTAAATAATGTATGTATTTCTAATTTATTTATATTTAATTGTATTATCAAAATCTGTAGTAAATTTCGCTGATTTCAAATATGTATAACATCTATTTGTTCGACTTTTGTTATTATTATTATTCGTTCTTTGTCTGAAATGTCTCATTCTGTTATAGTATATTTTGGACTTCTCTCATTTAGGCTGCCTTCTGGCTAATTCCTAACCTTGTCTCTTGAAGGCGAGCCTTTGCGTTTTCCTTACTTTACCCGATGACAGTTACTTCCTTTTGCTGTTTTCCTTTTCATTTAACGATTTATGGGATTAGTCGATGAAAATAGCACATTCATCTAGGGCAGTTAACTTGAAAACGTGCCCCCACCCCAGGTTTGTTATCTAGGTTCTTTAGCAGTGGGAGGAAACTGGAAGACCCGGGGAAAACCCACGAGGTTGGACAGGCGATCCTACTCCTTTTCACGTACAATCGAAACCACACCAGTTGACTCAATGACATACCTTATGATACAGCGCGCACGCGCTAACGATTCAGCCATCCAACCCCCCTCCGTACCATCGGTAATTAAACGTTGATGATAAGCTATCGGTAGGCTGTATCTTGATTGTTTTGTCCTAGAGATTGTCGCCGATTCAACATCCATAGTTTGTAGATTTAGTCTATTTCACACTATTAGGTTGTTTTCTAGGTATTTGTGAGCCATGGAACAGTACATTCTGTCAGGAGAAGAACAAATGGTTGTCATGTGAAGAAAGAAAATTAACTTGTCACGGATTAGAAGATCCAAGTAAGCTGTATTCATTTTTTTAAACCAACAAATATTAAACTTGAAGAAACCCAATCTCTTGTATTCTGGTCAAAGTAAGGTATTGAATTAGACGATCTAAAGTCTTATTTAGATTACTGATGGGATAAGTTCTATGCATTCTATTTTTGCTTAGAATGATTGAGTGAAAGTTTCATCTTAAGCTTACAATGGAACACAAAATCGTTTATATCTCTCCACTGGCCTAATCTATTGACGTAAAACTTCAATGAAAACAAGCCGTCATCGAACGTAACAAATCCAAGCGGAACCGCCTCGGAGCGAGATCAGGACCATTTGTCACTATGGGTAGCTGGAAAAAATTAAATTAGTGTACCATGCCAAAGCACATGAAAATTTGCTCATTTATCTGGATAACCAAGGCATTATAATTTTGCCACAAGCTTTGAAAAAAAATGGATAAAGGAATGTACTGTATTAAAGAATACGCGCTGTTAGCTTTCAGTACTTTTGTGTAGATCTTTATCCGTTCATATTAATAAGAATATCATTGACCTGAAACTAACCAGGCGCCACAAGCAGCGAGTATATTTTTAAGATATTTAGTATAATGATGACTGTGTTAAACTTAAGTGTTATCTCCATGTTTAAGTAAACATTTACAGCAGCTTTAAGTTATACCAATTGATGCCTCTACCATTCTTCTGGGAGCTCTTTAAAATGTAAACAATCAATTTATTTACAGTTTTACATTTTGGTTTTTTTTTTACATCCGGTAATTGATAAAAACAGAAGTCTGCATTGCTAATTTGAAAGAAAAAAAGAACAGACATATATTCCAAACACATAATATTATTATATTATACATTAGTCAACTTTCTAAGCAATTTGTTATACGCCCACAGCTAAATCCAGGCTATTAAATTTTTTGTATACTAAACGTTAGCATGGGCCAAACAAATTCTAATGATTTTTTGATAATTACTTAATGAGTTGTTACTCTTAATCAGATTTTGGTGTATTATAAATGTTGCATTACCGACAAAAGTAGAAATATGCAACAACTCTTGTTGACTGCCAGGACAATTTAGCTGCTGTGGGCGTATGTTTCGTTGTCTGGCAACCTATCTTTTTTATTAGTTATGTGGTAGTCGGGTTTGAAAATATTGCCAAGTACATGAGTTCAATGTCGTAACAGCATGATCGTTCTGAATATGAGTATTCAATTTTAAAAATATGTATTTAAATGATAACGGTTAATTTTCTTACAGATGTGCGCAATTTAACATTGAAGTTCCCGCAAAGAATGTTGGTGCCCCCGAGAGAAACCAATTACTTTTGTATGATATTTGATATTCCGAGTGATCGTGATTACCATCTAGTTGCCACCCAACCTGTCATTGACAACCGAGAAGTTGTCCATCACGTGTTAGCCTTTGGCTGCAATATTGCAGGTAAGATGATTAACATTGTAGGGTCAATCCGGTAAAGGTTTTAAATGGGATATATTTTCAGACTTGCTTAAAGATACATTATGGGAAATTAGATAAAGAGCTGACAGTTCTCATTATAATAGTTAAAAACTAGATAATTTCCAGGGAATTTGCTGAAAATTTCAGTTAAATTGATCCACTCTGAACCGAGAATTCTTTCTCGGTTGAATTTTCGGTCTAGCCTCTATCATCATTACTAAAGTCGGTACGATAAAATACATAGTCTCGATTATCCATTTCTTGATTTAATCATGAATGAGCGTAGAGCAGCAGATCGGATCCTAATCCAGTAAATAGGCAGATTTAGCTCTTGCATAATGTATGTTTAGTGGAGAACCCTATCGTGTTGCTCTTCAATGAAGAATTATTGTTCATGTCAACGAAACCATATTGGTATTGTTCAGCTGGTCCCGAAAGTGACCTATCAAAATGTCCCTGGTTGTCTAGGGGAGGGTGTTTATGGAGACACTGTTTTCTGGGGGGGGAGGGTCTCGATAGCTGACCACTTCTGCCCTGTTTATCTATCGGTTGACATTTGTTCTAGTTGATATTTGGTCACGTATTACTGACGATCATTCAGTTTGTACCCTATAAACGCCTAGGTAATACTAGATCAAGTGTGCTTATCACAACTGAGTAGAATGTGAAAATCTTGCTTGCATTGATAAGACGAAGAATCCTATTGAATTTCAGCGATAGTATCTTCCAGGGTTATTGTCCTTGATCACTTTGTAGAATTATGTGAACCCTTTAACCACGAGAGTTATCATACAGCAACACGAAATGTATATCCTTTGATCATTGTCAGGATAAGCCTAATAAAATGATAATAGTTGTAGACAATTAATTTTAGAGTTAATACTCATGATTGTGTTGTACAATCTATCAGTGGTTTTCGAAATTTTGTTTTTTATTTACCCAGTGTATTAGAATGCGGCACCATTTATCGATTTACTTGCCTGGCAACCTACCTTCTTTATCAGTCGATCTGCATTTGCTCTTGATAATATAATTACGTTCAAATGTACCGGTAGCTTTTCAATGGCGATCATTTATTACCCAAATTAAACTGGGTTTTACATTTTGTCCAAACCATGTTTCGCTAAATTCTTTGGAAGTGAAATGGCAACATTTCGTTTGTAATGAATTTCATTAACGCCCATAATAATTAAGATGAAAAAGATTACAGTAGCATGGTCTGAGTACATTTTGAAAATGGGACATGGTTTGGTTTTTGATCAAATAGCATATGGATGTGTTTGTTGTATGCAAATCATTAACCCCATATCCCAAAGTCTGGCGTCAACGTTATGGAGACAGAATTCATCATATAAATTTCGTCTTAACTAATAAATCGGCTTTCACTCATTGCTACTAACCGGATATTGTCTTCTGTGTGAGTCCGATAGAATGGGCGTTATCAAGAAATTAAGTCATGATACATCCGACATACATTAATTATATAAGAATGTTACAGTTATTATGTTTGATATAGTGATCAGTACAACGGACTGTTTCTATCTACTCCTCCTGCATTGGTCGAGAAAGTTCATCCAGATTTTCCGGCGGGTTCCCCCTTGTCAATGATGCAGGATGGAGGGCCTGACATGGACAGCTGTCTAGTCCTTCGGATGAGACGAAAAACCGAGGTCCCGTGTATACATTGGAATGCACGTAAAAGATCCCTTGGCAGTTGGAATTCGATATAAGAGTAGGCGATAGTGCCGCTGCCCGGGCAAAATTTCCCTCATAGCACACTGTATGGCGTATGCCCGTCTTCATTAGCCCAGCATAGGAGCAGAACAGTAGGACGTTAAACCCCATTTCATTTCATTTCACATTTTCCATATATTTCCGTCGAGTTTGGAATAACGGCCATTAAGACTTAAGATGGCTTGGGGCTATCTAATTGGCTGAAAAATATTAAATGAAGAATTAACACTGGTCTAATTTAACAAACGAATCTTGCTGTAGGAAACCTGAATTTTGGTTAATCTGATTAATCGAACGCTCGTATGCCGAATTTCACATGTTTTCATGTGAAATCTGGAATAGGGATCTTTAAGCAGATGGCGTTTGCAAGTCTTCAATTCACTTTTCACTAACAAATGGTTATTAGTACAACATCGCTTAATTCATCTTTGGGGTTGGAATATGCTTAACTGATGCAGATTTTATTCCGACAAAATAAACTAGAAACCCCATCTGGGTTTCTAAGATAAAGTGGGTGGTTTTTGAACGAGGAAACAGTAAAGATTATAATTTTAAAGCAGTAAATAATAATCACATGTTAAAAATTGTATCGGTGATAGCACACACGTGTTGTTGTCAAGCGGCAGGGTGTAATTTACTGTTTTATCATATAAATACTATTTTGTTTCGCCTCTCCATGCTGTTAATTTCATCTTGACCTCATCTTTTATCGCTTTGAGATTTACAGGTGTTCAAATGCACGCCGTGCGGGATATTTACTAAATACGCCAAGTTTGAAATGTGTTAGGACGTTTACGTTTTCCTGATTTGAAATTGTATACAAATAAAACTGAAACTATGGGCTGTGTTTGAGAAATCAGATATCATTAAAAAAATAAGCAAGCTGTATCATTGTTTTCACATCCTCGTCGGTTGTGATTTATCTTATATTTATCTGACATGACAATATATTGAGCCATGTCATGCCGATAAAAGGGGCAAACCTAATATATAGTATTTAAAGTATATTGCCCACCTTCAAACACCCGATGAAAATTGAGTGTTAACCATCTTCTTAAATATCCACCCCCATTTCGCATTTTATTTCTGCCTCGGTGTGTTACATTGGTCTTGCTATCGCTGGATTACTCCCCGGAAACTGGAACAGTAAAATATTTGTTCACGCATTTGATCTCTAATAGCCCACAGGCCGTTATATCAGTTTCTGAATTATAAGCAAGTTTATAGTTTTCGTTATATTTTTTTAAGCACCCCGACCGCCAAATGCCACACCCCTCCTGCATCGTCGATTACATCACACCATTTTTGAAACCAATCATACACATTTAAACCAAACAAACCTCCCAGATATATATTTTATATGAAAGATGTGTAATATTTTTATAGTGATGTATGTTCAGAAAAATCATCAGACATAATAATATCAACCACAAACATATACCAGATTTGTTTCCCTCCGTCAAAAAAGTTCAAATATATTTATTTGAAACACAAAATCACTGCATACACCCTACCGTATAAATAAATAGCAACTACCAATAAATTAGATAAATTTAGATTTGAAAATAAAGGCATGTATCAGATATTCTCTCGCATAATTAGAATTGATTAAAAAGAACTCAACGGTACGGAATATTAGACAAAAGATTAAATTGATAAAAATTTCATCTTAATTTAATGATAATAGGCAAAACCTGACTATTGCTTCGTTATTTTTTGATTATCCTTTTTCTGGTAAAATAAAACGTACCAAAACACCCTTTGATATTTTTAAAATTAAAAGCAGACGAATTATATTTATCTTAACAAAGATCTAAAAGTTTAAAATTACTCAGAAAATTAAACGTGAATAACTAAATGCCATAACACAACCACTCACACGTTTAACACGTCATAATATTATTAACTTTCATTTTGAATCATCGTTTAAAGGAGTGGTCCAGGATATAAAGGGATGGGAGTTGGGGAGGGGGTCGAGTAGTCTACCGTGTGAGCTTGAGATCATATCTGTCATTCAGTCGGGGACCGCAGTGGTTCAGTGAGTAACACGTTTCCGAGAAATTTCATCAGGATTTAGGCGGGGTTCCACCTTGTCTGTGTTGCAGGACGGAGGGCCTGGCAACGGGCAGTGTTAGTCCTTCGAGTGGTACCAAACACCGAGGTAGGATGTAGTCAGCTGTCCGGGCAAAATTTCCCTCATAGTGCACTGTATGGTTTATGCCCGTCTTCGTTAGTCCAGTCTAGAACAGGAGGACGTTAAATCCTAGTTTATTTTATTTCATTTCTGTCATTGAGTCAAGTGGAGTGGTTCCACCCCTGTACGTGGAAAGGAGTAGGTCTTTTGTCCAACTTCGTGGGTTTTCCAGTTTCCTCCTACTGTTAAAGACCCCTAAGCGCAAGTGAATTAATTAAAATAAAATTGACCAATTTATGTTAGTTCTGAAATGACCTAGTATGTGTCTAGTACTAGTAGACGTTTTCCTCTCACTGAAATAAAATTAAACAAAATGTAAGTCCTGAAATGAACTGATTTGTGTCGTTAACGCCGTTATCTGCGAAAAAGTAGCACAGACATCCAAATACAATGTAGCTGTATAGAACTAGGATAACAGTTTCTGAAAGAATCTTTCACATGGAAAAATATATCGGCACTGCTCTTTTAAAACAAAATTCCGGAAGTTATGCATTGTTATTTTTTATTTTTTTTTGTAAAGAAACTATTAAAATTTTGAATATTCGACGAACATATGTTTCTTGTAATAAAAAAATGCATGACAAAACATATTCCCATTGAAAGAAGAGAACAATTTTTTACCGATAAATTAAATAAATCACAGGTTCCAATTTTACATGGAAATATAAAGTTACATGCACAAAGTTTGGTTTGAAGAATGTGTAGAGAGAGTTATGTAAATATATATATAAAGTTTAACAACCTCCAGTGGTTAAAATTAACCAGCTAGTTTGTCGTCTGTAACCTACTGATATACTGACTTCTTGTAGAATATCGCTTACGAACATTCATTTGAATGAAGTGGGCCATGGTTGTCGTGTGGTAGTACGGACCCTGAATGTCCCGAGTTCGAATCACAGCGTGGGTCGATATCAACCTTCTGGATTTTTCGACCACATCTAACAATAAAAGTGTCAAGTTGTTTGGACGGGAAGTAAACCCATGTGTAATTGTTATTTCTTGTTCATCTGTAGGCGAAAACACCGCTGTCCCGACAAAGTTAAAAAAAAAAGACCTTATGTTAGTCTCGAAATGTGTCGACGAGACATTAAACCCCATTCCATTAAAATTAAGTTCAGATAAAGCGTATTAACATGTTCCTTTACACTTGTATCAAAAGCAGGTCCAATCCCCACCAATTCCATCCTGGCGCCACTACAGCTTAACAGTTAACAAAATCACGAAGCACAGCAACTCACATCCAACAAGCAAACTTGGCAAAACGCAACAATATGATCAAATTATTTATCAAGTAACTGGTCACCCGGTAGGCACAGATTATAACATAATTGGTAACTGATTGAATAAACCTAAATGTGAATTTCACTTCTTCTTTATTACAAATAGCACAGGAACGAAAATACATGCATAATTGTATAATTACTAGTACAGCATACAGCAACATACAATATACACATACCACCATCCCAGCCATCAAACATTTCCCAAAAATGGTTATCTTCTTTCTATTTATAGTCCTTCGTTCCTTTTAACTCCTCTGGCATGTTGCCCTTTGTTGATTTTTGGGTTTTAATTCGAAAAAAATGGTTTGAATATACTTTTGAGTCGAAAAGATAAGAGGAGTTAAGAGGTTGGTTATATAGGGCCATTCAGTATCACATGGGGTATTTCGAAAGCCTTTTTTCCCTCTGTATAAGATGACTGACCTGTATAAGTTCAAGTATGCCTTTACATATGACGCCACATCACATATCGTCGACCATTGGCCCGGTATTGTAGCGTAAACTGGTCCGGGCAGAATGGCGCCTTTTACCCATTTTATATACCCATTTACACTAAATGGGAAATATTTTGTATTTATTTTTCTAATGCTTCAAAAAATGTTCTAGAATTTAATTTGCAGAAGGAAAAAAGTTGATATTGCGAGCTAATTAAACAACACGGATGTCATCCCTCTCAGTGATTGTAGCGGCCTCGCGAATATACACTGCTGATCAGTTCTGTATCACATCGGGTATTTCGAAAGCCTTTTTTCCCTCTGTATAAGATGACTGACCTTTATAAGTTCAAGTATGCCTTTACATGTGACGTCACATCACACATCGTCGACCATTGGCCCGGTATTGTAGCGTAAACTAGTCCGGGCAGAATGGTGCCTTTTACCCATTTTATATACCCATTTATTTTTTATTTATTTTTCTAATGCTTCCAAAAATGTTCTAGAATTTAATTTGCAGAAGGAAAAAAGTTGATATTGCGAGCTAATTAAACAACACGGATGTCATCCCTCTCAGTGATTGTAGCGTTCTCGCGAATATTCACTGCTGATCAGTTGTTAATAATGCTATTTCCAGTTTGCATATCTCAAGATTTCCATAGTTAACGTCATATCCGGTTTTCAACAAGACGCTCGATTTTGGTCAGTAAGTTTTCCGGATAATATTTTAACTGATTTGAAAAAAGGGTATCACTATCTGTTGATTTCAATTTGAAAACATTATTTAATTTGATTTAATATGGGTTAACTAATCATTGTCCCATTTATTTTTTTTTAGATAGCCAACAGATTCCGTCTTCTCCCTATCCGTGTGCCATGTTAGCTCATCCCAATTGTCTGGAGATAATAGCCACATGGACGCTAGGAAGTGCCGGTGAATGCGCTAACCCTGATGTTGGATTCCGTCTTGGCAAAACTGGGTATAAGAAAGTTGCATTGCAGGTATGCCAAAATCAAGTTTTCCTATTTCCTATTAACCTCTTATTGCATGAAAATCCAATCACAATTCTTGTCGTTTTGTTGGCTTCAAATTTCTTGTATTTGTCTTCACGAGAGTATATAAAAAACCAAAAAAGATCTATTGATTAATATGACTTAAGCGTGAGGAATGATTTTTGCCGGGCCACACGGATCATTCCCCAACTATGGTGTACCTCGTTTGTTTTTCTCACTTAAATGCAAAGCACAATGCGTCCTTTCCCATGTCCTCCCACAGAAGGAACAAATTCCGCAGGTTCTTTTGTGCTCATGTTGGGATTCGAGACTTCGACCTAGTTTAATTTAAAACAACGTTCGACTACCACAGCATCCAGCTTCACACTTGGCTCTTTATAGCTTCCGTTGTTGGACATTCAAAACATCCGCTTAAAGGACTTATGCCATCACTTCTGCCTGCCGTCCGCCCGGAAATGGGGTGTAGTTAACCTTGTCTAGGATGCAAGATAGTCTGGCGCACGGCGTATAAAGCCAGGTTGATGTTTATTGTGATTTCTTCAAATGATATTATTGTTTCCCGTGGGGGATGGACAGGCTGGCTGAATGGATTTCTTTTAAATTTGGTAGAAATCATCCTACACCCTCTTTAGCATGGGCGGTAGTAAGGCCACGTGTCTCCTGTTGTAATGTGATTGCTTTTCCATTCAGACTGGTCATTATCAACTATTTCAGATTCACTGGAATAACCCCCTGTTATTATCAACCCTGATGGACGCCTCGGGACTACGCTTGTATTATACACCGAACCTAAGAGCAAACGATGCCGGTATGTTGGTGGTTGGTCAGGATTTTATACAGCTTAACCCTCAACCAGTCCATTCACCACCAGTTCAAGTCACGTCTGTCTGTGCTGCTAAATGTACCAAAGAAATGTTTAAAACACCCATCTATATAACAGCTGCAATTAATCATATGCATTACCATGGTAAGAAATTAATTTTGATTTTATCAATATTTCCCTGGGTTATGCCTTAAAGTTTAATAATATTATACCACTTACTTTTATTCAGAAAAATTCAAATTGGATGTTGGGGACAGCGTCAGATTCAGGTTGTGAGTCTGCCCGTTTGACCACCCCACACCTATTGTGAACGCTTCACAGCTCCAGTTATGTTTATGTTCTGACTTTTACAGAATTTATACACTAATATGCCTACTTGTCCAGGAGAGTTAAGATGCAATCCATAATGATGGGTGGTTTTATATCTAAACAAATATTTGTATATACTACAATATAATACAAAATTATTCTTATATCAGCGTTTACTTTGACGATTTTAGTTTATACTGCTTTAAAATCTACCTCTCTTGGTGAAATTTTCATAAAAACAATTAAACATTCTTAGCATGTTTAAAAACAGCCTATGCTTGTTTGCGACCGTTTACATGTTTTGTAACAACGTAGTAAAAGGCAACAAAAAAAACAACGAAACGGAAACAACATCTGATTTTTATCTGATTGGGAATAATTTTAATCATACAGAGGAGTGTGAGTGACTCATTCATAAAGCTGGCGTTAATGGAATAATTGTTCCTATCAATGTTAAAATGTTATATTTGTGTTTTTATAGGTATATCACAGATAATATCATTATATAGAAATGGTAGTAAAGTTAGAGATATAACTAATGATTTAGTTTATAGTTACGATAGTCCTATTATCAATACGTAAGTATTCTGTCCTTATATATTAGTTGTATTATCCCCGTTGGATAACAGTAATTTCGATTTCTAAAATCTAGCTATTGCTTCATTTATTAAGTAGCGGGCATTTGCTTGATTGGGCGCCATTTTCTGTTCATTAAGTGGTTAATAAACTTTACAGTAACTAATCGAATTACGTCATAAAAAGCAGGATTAACCAGTGCTATATAAATGTACGTATATAATGACTTTCAAATGAAAGAATAAGTAACCGAATGTAGGACTAAACTACAGCCGCTAGTTTGGCGAACTCGTTGCACGAAGCAAAAGTAACCGTCACAATGAAGACAAGTAAACTTCATACAGTGCACTATGATAAAAAGAATGCCCTGACAGTGACGCTACGGTCTACTCTAACCGATTTCCACGGGATCTTTAACGTGCTCTAACCACCATCCGAACAACTAGACCTCTTTTATTGTCAGGCCTTCCACCCTGAACCACTGGTAAAGAGAAATCAGGATGGTCAATGCCGACGGATTGCTCGACCAACCAAGGGATTGATACGCTGGTCAGTGATCCAGCGCGATTCTCGTCGAGATGCCGTGGCTCACGACAATTGGAGTCTACTCTTTCTGAAGCAACTCATTATCACTATATCTGTGGTAAATTAAAGCATGGGTGTCACACTGAAAGTGCTCAAATTGCCTATTTGCAGTTAATTGTTGTTGGTTTAAATGTTTTTTCTGTGATGATAACTGGTTGCACTTTGTTTTGTTTTACTTGAAGGTTTAATCCACCAATAGAAATCCTTCCAGGAGATGAAATACGTACCGAATGTAACTATCGTTCACCAACAGATGGCGATCCAGTATGTTTTGGTGACGGAACACAGAATGAGATGTGTTACGGTTTTATTACCTACTACCCAATACATCGCCTTTTACGACCATGGTGTACTACACGCAGATCCGTTGAGTCATGCCAACGGCATTTACCCAGATTTCAGAACGGTCCAATAGACGGTTGTCATTGGAAACGATTTTTAACCGAAGGAAAAGTGACTATTTTACCAAACATTCTTCAGAGATGTTACAACGAAAATATGACAACCTTAGAGTGTAGCGATACTTGTAAACAGGCAGTGAAAATGGTTCGCCAACATAAATGTTTAAATGGCGATATTGGCGGTTATATCGTTATGAAACTACGACTGATCACTGCTGGTCGTTTGTTTCTCAATGCCATAGATATTTGTGACTGCTCCCAAAGGTTGGACCTGGGTTATTGTGATCGACGTATTGAAAGAGCTTTAATAGGAGACCAAAAATATAAATACTGTACTGCAGAAGGTCAGTCTCGGAAGTACGATAGCCGACAAAATGGCGGTAACGTGGGACAAGTTATTGTGGACGAATTAGAAAGTGGCGTTAAAAGTACTCATACCCAATATACAGTGTTTTTTGTGGTTGTCTTTTGCATTTTACTGAAATAATTTTGTGTATGTGTTATTGTTTAAGAATGGATGATGTTTTTCTATGTGTCACATGACTTTGTGTGTGAGCACTCAGCAGGGGTATTTTATTTTATTGGCTTATCACCAATGACATAAACTGCATTACTTGACACTAGAGCCACCATCTTTAGGACAAAAAAGACAACAGCCAAGATATCTAATCCAAAAGATGAAAGAAAAATGGAGACTACTGGAAGTGGTTGGAAATTCAGCCTTGACACTTCCATGCGGAATTACATAGATACGGTCGATAGGCCTAAATATATAAATACCGAAAACGACGTTCACGATTTTGTGCTTACTAAAAAAATGCGTTAGAATGTGGATTCCTTACCTGTATCATCTCCAAAAAGTTAACATCAAAATAATTATAATAACTTTGAACATTGATCTATGCAACTCTTCTTATTGTTTATTCCCGTGAATAAGAAAACTTTTTAAATTCTTATACATTGTATTATATTTCCATTAATTCAGTAAAGATTTATAAAACTACTATGAGAAATTGACGTATTATCACACAGTAAAGAGATAGTGTGCAACTGCGAAATTGTTCGGAAAATGTCAAATTTTTAAATGTAATCAAAAAGGTTTCGATAAAAATGATTTTGGTAAATTGTAGGATAGCTTCTTGGATATTCTGGAACGCCCATGTAAACATCTTTGCCTGAAAGAATTATAATGTACCTCCAGGTTGGCTTTCTTACGGGTTTGAAATGATCAAGGCAATTCCCGCCAAAGGTCTCGTAACCACAACCACAAAAACGTTAAGAGAGTGTAGATATATCCGGTGTTCTTAGGGTTTACCAAATGTAAAGCAGTTTGTATTTGTACGTGAACGAAGCCTTAGTAATATCCATCTGAAAATGAAACAATGTTTTTAGACATGTGAACGCCAAAAATGAGAAATACAATATGTGCAACAAGATGGTTAATGATTTTAAACTTGATAAAAACATGCCCTTATAATTAACGGGTAATGATACATAAAATTAATAAATTAAGAATGTTTAATTCTATATCTTGCTTATTTCAAACTAGTTTCGTATGATACTCGTCCGTGGCCAATGTAGACAATGGACCAGCCCATGACCCTCTTTGTATACACACAATCTGCTATGTGCATGTCGATTTGAGTCAATTATTTTGTCTGGCGGAAACCGTCAAACTAAGAGAATCATACAGTGGACTAGCACATGGAGAATTTCATTTCCCTTCAATGTTACTGTTTATCTATTTCTTATAATTTATTGTTATTCATGTATTTTCTAAATGTATATATGATGTTCTTTTTTTAATAAATTGTCGTCTATTTGTGGTTCACCCATTTGTCAAAACTTACATGTATAGTTATAAAATAAAAAAACAAAACACAAACTTGTCATGTACGTTTTTATATGCCCATACTATAATATAGCACATGGCTTCCGTGCGTAATATTTCTTCTCGTCTTCATTAATCCGGTTGGTTCAGAACAGTTGGACGTTAAACTCCATTTCATTCATTCGTTTATTCTTTTATTTGCTTTTCTATACGCTTGTTTGGGATTTTGGAGATCGTCTATGAACCAGGTTGCGTTTTTGAGAACATTTCTCTGACGTTTCTTTTGCTGCTTAGTATATTTCGTGAAATAGCAAATCGGCTGTAAGTCTGAAACCTCGTATCTCCAGGAAAATCCAGATATAAATTCCAAATTGTTGCAAATCCAGTTTAAATCAAAAGAGAGAGAGAGAGAGGGGGGGAGAGAGAGGTGGGTTTAACGTCCATTCGACACAAAGTAGGTCATTTCGGGACCAGCATATGGTTTAATTTTACTTCAATAAATTGCGCGTAGGATTCTTTAGCAGTGAGAGGACACTGGAGAAGCCGAGAAAACCCACCAGGTTAGATAGGCGACTCTACTCCTTGTCAAGTACAACCGGGGAATCGAAACCACGCCAGTTGACTCAACGGGTGAAACAGCTAAGAAGAAGTCACTTTTAAGGTCAATAATTTTTGAACCAAGTTGTTTTCTATCCCCAAAAATACATTTTGCCCCCCTCCCCTCCACCCCTCCCCCGCACAATGGAAATATTATGCACATTTACAGATGTGCAGCGGCATTAAAAATCATCATTTATATCAACATGAACTTAATTCCCGCCGATTTTAGTTTAAAATCAACTCAGTATCTACTGAAAAAATATTTCATAGAATTTTGGGAAAAGTGAAATTGACAAATAAACGCTCTTGTTGGTGATTAGTATGACCGTTTTGGCAAAATTTCAATTATCCACAATATATGAATTTTTTATGAAATCATTTAAATTTTGGATATGGTGTGTACAAAAGTGTTGGTAAAATAAAAATCTGTAAATGAATGACACTCAATTGTAATGGAATCCAAACTCCAGGAAACTTTAATCTAATAAAAAGTACTATATTCTTCAATACACCAGGGAACCAAGGAACCACATACCGTGGCTCAATAAGGTGCTGGCTCACTAACCAGGATGTCCAGGGTTCGACCCCTGTGTTAGCGGAGAATGTACCTTTGGATTTTCCAGTCTGATTCTCCCATAACAGTGGTTCAGAACGAAAATCACCCGTAGTCCCAGATACACGTTGGCGTACACATAAAATAACACTTGGTAGTTGGAATTCAACTACGACAGCTGGCTGAAAAGTTCTAAACCTGAAAAGGATAGATCAATTTGGTTGAAACAAACTTTTGCCACCAACAAGTACAATTGTTGAATGAATCATAGACATAAGAACTGCAACTGTAGTGTTTTTATTGGCTTCGTACCAGAACACCTTATGAACTTACCCATTAAAATCACTATAAATTTTAATGGACAAAACTGGTTATAGGGCAGTCATCAAGTACCTGCAACTGAAAGGACTAACCCCAACACAGATACATGCCGAAATGGTATCCACTTTAGGGAATGATGCCACTTCATTCTCAATGGTACAGAATTTAAGTGTGGCAGAGAGAGAATTGACGGTGACCAGCTTCACTTTAGGGAATGATGCCACTTCATTCTCAACGGTAAAGAATTTAAGTGTGGCAGAGAGAGAATTGACGGTGACCAGCGTCCTGGAAGGTCATCCACAGAAACCATTCAAGAAAACATTACCCGGGTGCATGACATGGTAATGGCTGATCGACGATTACCGACACGACATATTGCCAGTGTTGGATGCATCTTTCAGGAGAGGATTGGGAAAATTATCACCAACGACAATCTCCGCCGTTTTGGTGCAGATCCTGATAATTCTCTGGCCAGATTTGTTACTACGGGTGAAATCTGGACTCATCACTTTCAACCAGAATCTAAACTTCAACCAGATTATCAACGGAATATATTATACTGACCTACTTAGACAGTTGCGTGAAGCTATCAAAGCTAAGCGACGGGGAATGCTCACTAAGGACGTCCTGTTCCATCAAGACAATGCTCCTGCTCATAAATCGGCGATTGTCATGTCAGCGACATCCATCTTAATCGCCCAATTTGGCCCCGTCAGTCTTTCACCCGTTTCCAAAAATGAGGAAGGAACAAGCCGATCGTCATTTTCTCAGTAATAATGATGTCATGTCAGCTGTGAACGAAGAGAATTTCATTTTTGACCAGCTCCCAGGCCTTGAAACATCGTTGGCAAAAGTGTGTACACCTCGAAAGTGGCTACATGTGTGTAGAAAAATAATTGGAAACCATAGACTCTATACTGGTCTTTCACAGATAGGCTTAGAACCTTTCAGCCAGCCCTTGTACGTAAGAATAGGCGGAAACGGACCTGTCCAGGTAAATTCCTTTCAAAGCAAATTGGATCCGGGTTGGTGCAGAAAAGTAGGACGTACATAAACTTCATTTCATTCATGTAGACAGAAAGGGGCATGGTGCATATCTCTACGAGTTGTTGAATTAGAGAGTTTGCAGAATAAGCAATACCTAATGTATTATTGTACACTGAGAGAAAGTCAATGTGCCTTTTCACTTAAGATTCCTACAAGAAAAGACATGCTAAAATTATTGACAGAACATGTTATCATTTCATTATTTTAACCCAGACTTATTTAATTACACTTTGTCAATCACTCATCGGATATATATATTATCTTAAACGTGCTATCGTTGGGTGATGACGTATAACCATCGTCAGAGCACATTCTTTATTCTTGGTTCCAAACAAACTCACAAAGCATGTCAACAAGGACATTTTGTGCATGTATTCAGTTCAAATGTTTTAGACGTTCTTACAAACATTTCTGGGAATATACAAGACTCAAATTTTTTATAATTTTTTTTATTGATTTCACACAGCCATATAAACAATTCTGGAATATTTCCATTAAAACCAGACCATTTGTATATGCCACGCATTATATTAATGCAGAACTGTCCACACTTTTGTCAGGACAATAGAGGACAGTATTTATCGGATTTTTCTGAAACTTTCAGGACACATGATAAGTTGAGAACCCAGCATGATACAGGTCTTCGGATCTGAGTTTTGTTTGAATTTCATGAAACTTGTTTGAAAACCCTGTGAACCTGATAGAGGCTACATATTTTAATAGATTTGGTGTTAATTATTGTGGTCATATGAGAGGACGTACCCTATCGATATTCAGCGTTCCGCCAACTTCCTTTTTGGAATTGCCTCCATTTCCCGAAAACTTTGTGAACGTGATTGAGGTTAAATTTTTTAACGGATTATTTTTTAATTTTTTGTGAGGTATTGGGGTAACGACAGGATGAGCTCTATCGATATACGTACTTCCACCTCCATCGTTTCAGAAAACATAGTGCATGTCATAGTGCATGCGGTGTGGAAGCATATCGGTTACGACGGAGCGAACCCTTTCCATATCCAACCTTGTGAACGCGATAGAGCCTACATTTAAATCCTTTGCATGTTCCGCGCCCTTCTTACCGAAGTTATGCCCCCTATTCCGAAAAGCATTTGTACACCTTGTAGGCTACAATTTTTTTCCAGACAAACCTGCTGTGTGGGTGTAGCTCTGTTTTTTTTCAATTCGGTGCCATCTGAACTAAGCGTTTCTTTGGCCCTTACCGTAGTTAGGTTGTTCTTACTTCGTAAGCCTGTTTTTACTTGCAGCTGGAAATTGCAAATGTTGCAGATGGTCGGTCATGTTCCCAGCTAGCCACCCTTTTTGTCAGTCACAAAACACCTAATTAAGAAATGAGGTACATGTGTAATAAATAGTACTATGTTTATACCCTTGATGAAGTAGTGTTTCTGCAATCACTGGCATGCATGTTTGTATTGTATGCAGGCTAATTATCTATATTGATTGACATGTAAGAAACATAGAGTTGAATCTAGTACAAAACCATCAAACATCAACAGGTAAACGGAACACGTTTCTTTTCTTTCTAATTGTTGATTACATACACACATCACATACAATTAAAACTGTTTAAGTGAATGGTGCTGTTTTTAGAAATATTATAAGTTCAGATTAAAAAAAAAAAATCCCGTTAAACAAATAATCAAAAAGAAAAAAATACCATGCCTAATTGATATTTAAAGGGACTATCCCGATTTGAACAGAATCTCAAAAATAAAAGTCCGAGTACGTTTGAAATTTAAGCGCCAAAATATAAAGGAATGGTGTGTTTACCTTGTCTCAAAATTCAGCTCACAATATTTAGTCGTTTGGACGTGAACATCATAAATGCTTATCCGGACACGTAACCCTTTTAAGATTTCTGGTCATTTTTTCGTTGGGTGGCCTGATAATCGATTCCCATTCCTTTAGAGGTCTATACAATGAATGACCCATGTGCTGTACTTGATAACGAAAGGTAAATTTCACCTACACATTATTTTTATAAGTAAAAATCTGGTTTATCCATAAGCCACATAATACAGTTTGTGACACTGGTCTCCATTTCCTGATGAAGACTGATAGGTTTAAGTTGTTTGAAAAAGTATCACAAATATTGAGAGGGTGATTAATGGTATCAACAATAACATGGTTTCACATTCATAGGTTGTTTTTAAATAATTTAATTTTTATTTTTTAAAATTTTGTAATCTTTATTTGCAATATGGATATTAAGGGTTTGATTATGATCAGTTGTTGTTTTAGCATGGATTTGTACATTACATCCCCCCTTTAAGGGTTTCTCATTGATAAATAATAGTTTACTTAGATATGACTTTGAATGGCTTCGGCCTTATTTTGTTAATTAGTTCATTGTTATCTGTTTGTATATAACCTTCTGTAACTTGTTTGATTGTTCTTGTCTACGATATCACCTTAGGTGGAAGTGGACGTAAAACACCAGAAACGAACGAACGAACGTTTGATTGTATCATTGCTTGATAACGGTGAGAGTGTCCTCATTGAAACTTTGCAGTTAATAAACCTAGTGAATGTCATCCATAAAGCTGTCTGTTATTAAATATTGAGTTATAAGTTGCTCGGCCCTTTGGTAGAGGATTTTAAGGGATTTTAACACAAAATTAAGCAGTTTTATTTTCCAACATATTATCGGGATTGGTCCTTTAAGTCACTGACGAATGTTTACTGCCACTTGTAATATCAATGCTTTTTTCTCCTATTCACTTTCTGAAAACCCAGATTGCATCAAAAATATTAAGATTGTGTCAGCAATTGTTGTGATGGCATCAGTCACGTGCTACACAATTAGCAGTAATATTAAATATCCGTGTTATCAAGAGCTATGTACTACTTATCTGTTGACCATAAAGAGTTTTGTAATAGTCACATTACCAAGAGGTACAAACAAGGGCTAGCTGAAAAAAGTTTAGTCCTTCGGATGAGACGGAAAACCAAGGTCCCGTGTATACATTGGAATGCACGTAAAAGATCCCTTGGCAGTTGAAATTCGATATAAGAGTAGGCGATAGTGCCGCTGCTCGGGCAAAATTTCCCGCATAGCACACTGTATGGCGTATGCCCGTCTTCATTAGCCTAGTCTAGGAGCAGAACAGTAGGACGTTAAACCCCATTTCATTTCAGCTGAAAAGTTCTAAGTCTTTCTAGTTTCCATTTATTTTTCAGCATAGTCATGTTCGAGGTGTACACACTTTTGCCAATGATGTTACATGGCCTGGGAGTCGGTCAGGAAGAAATTTTCTTCAGCCATCCAAACAAATCGTTCACAGATGACATGACATCATCATTACTGGGAAAATGACGGCCGGCTAGTTCCTTTTTTATATTTGGAAACAGGTGGAAGTCTGACTGGGCCAAATCGGGTGAGTAATGTGGATGGTCAATGAGTTCGAAGCCACAATCATGGATCACTGACATGGATTGTACTCGTTTGTTTCAACCCATTTGATCTATCCCTTTCAGACTTAGAACTTTTCAGCAAGCCCTGGTATGTGTGTGTGTGTGTGTGTGTGAGAGAGAGAGAGAGAGAGAGAGAGAGAGAGAGAGAGAGAGAGAGAGAGAGAGAGAAATGGGGTTTAAAGTATGAATCAATTTTATTTCAATAATTCACTTGTGTGTAGGGGTCTTTAGCAGTGGGAGGAACCAGATAACCCGGAGAAAACCCATGGGGTTAGACAGGCTACCTTACTCCTTGTTACGTACAACCGATCGAAACCACACCAGTTTACTCAATGACAGACCTAATGATACAACGCACATGCACTAACCTTTTGGCCACCCAACCTCCCACCCTCGTATGTACCATAATGATATCACTGCACAAGCTATATTATCATCATGTCACCAAGAATAATGCAATGACCACGTTTTACTATAGCTTATTAGCTATATAATTATTAAGGTACCAAGAATTATGTACCGGTAATAACCATTTTAGATAAATAAACAGTATGCAATAGATTTACGTAAAAATTTATTTAAATAAAACAATTGAAAAATATTTCACTTTTGCATAAATTGAAAACATGGCAAATAAACTAGGTATTAATTTTTAAAAAGCTGATATGTAACACAAGTAAATATATATCTCTATTTCTATAAATCATTATATTCTAGTAAATCAAATATTCAAAAACTTAAACAGGACTTAAAGGAGCTAAATTTCTTTGAAAATAAAGTATTGAATTGAGGTTGATCTGATGTGTTTTCTTAATTGTTACGGAAACAACTATATGATTACATGTTTTATTTCACATTTCGATCCTTTAAATTGCTGACTGGTGAAGACGAAATCTGCTATATCTCAACACTGACTACATCTGTGGACAAATACCCACCTCTCAAAATCAATAACTAGTAAAACACATCAAATTTACTCTTAAAACAACAATTTCATTTTTTACCCATATCAAAGACATCCAGTCATTTTTAAAACATTATGACTTTTTAATACAACAATAACAAATTAACAAATTGTACCTACTAGTGATCATACATTGTATTGCATTGTAAATAAAAATTGAAAAATCAAATTTTAAGAAACAATTACTGGCACTCAAAATACTCAATTTCATTAATAGATAATCCATTAAAGATTGACAAATAATAATTTGATGATTCTCTTATACTTACATTATAAAACATAATGAAAACAAAAGTTTAATTATGTGTAATCAGTAAATTTATATAATTAACTTTTATGATCTTAGGTCTCTCCTATGTTCTAAATTATTATCTTTTTTTTGTAACTGTAAATATACAATGTATATATATGGTTTGCTAGGGTAGTAAATTCATGTAAAAATTATGCTTTAAAAGTAGAAATGAGCAAACTACCAGTATTTAATTCACTAACATTATATAATTAAATGCCTATTTCTATATATATTAGGAATTATCAGTAAATTTCAATGTTTAATTTATTATTCCTGGAGGGATATGAAACACAGAAGTGATGTATGCTTTAAAACGATGTGTCTAAAGAAAATTGCTGATCTGAGTATCTCTAAATATATATCTTTTTCTTCTATCATATTCAGGGAAAATATTGAAAAACCAAAACATTTAGAGGCATTTACATTTATTAATTAAATCATTTATAAACTGAATATAAAATATTATTTTTAAAAAAAAATTTATTTATTAAATCATTTATAAACTGAATATAAAATATTATTTTTAAACAAAAATTTATTTATTAAATCATTTATAAACTGAATATAAAATATTATTTTTAAAAAAACATTTAAAATTCACAACCATGATCATCATTCATGCCTAAGTACATGGCAATGAAAATTTTGGCAAGTTATAAAGCACAAGTTCTTATAATTTTTTAAAATTAATTGATGTTATTACTAAATAATCTCAGGTCCAGGGTTTCTTTAATAAATAGGTAAAGACCCTAGTCAAACTACCATTCTGCATATATCATATCGTACCCTAGAACTCAAAATATTTTCTATCTTAAGGCAATGTTCTAAATCAAATTTCTGAGGTGTCTCTCTACTATTATATTTAAGTATGCTATAAGACCTTTCATCAAAATTTGCATAGAAACAAGATTGTTATCTGTTGGTCATCAATTAAAAAAGTCCATAAAGTGATATTGTTACTGGACTGAAAATAAAACAACACAATTGCTATCAATTGTTACAAGCCCCTGTGATATAAACTATAAAACATCATATATACAATATAAAATTGAACATAAGCCATGAAAGACAAAATCACTGGGTTAATTAATTAATGCAAGACATATTAGTTGTGTTGTAAAAATAATCTTCTCATATTCCATTCATTTTCTTTATACAAAAAGATTCAAGTAAAATAACTGTTACCCCCACCCTACCCCAACTTTACAGTAATTTATAACATATTATCAAGTTTAACTTGATTTACAGCTGTCCGTCCAGTTTTAAAGAACTTGTTTTCTTTCAGAGAACACAGAGATCATTAAAAGCATAGATCCCATGGCCACAACAGCCTTTAAGGTAATCTGACAAGGCTTTCTAGAGAGAAAACTTTTTACACAATAGCATACTGCCTAAAATTATATAATTGCTTAAATAAATTTTAAAATATTTCAAATTATGAGCCATTTAGAGAATATACACTGATGCGAGTCCACCATCATAAATACAAGAATACAATTTTTCACATAGATTAACAAGCAATATAAAATATAACACAACTCTATTTGTTAATTGAAAAAAATACGATCATTGCCTGAAAGATGCTAATTCATGACATAATTTTTCATCAGTTGAAAAGAGGAAAAATTTCAAAAAAGATTGTTTCACATATTTAGATTTCAATCTGCCAAAAAGCCATGCAGTAGCTGACCATTTTCCTTATTTACATTTAACAAAAGTAAGGGTTGAAAGTTTTCTTTAGATAGTAATTAGACATCTAAAACAAAAAATCTTGGTTAGGTACTAACTTGATCTCGATGTTCGTAAAAGACTTCCTTAAATCATTGATAGACATGTGTAAGCCCATGAACATGGCAAAGTCAATTTAATAGAAAATAATGTGAATTTAATATGGTCATAGCTTACATTAGGATTGATTAATTAGATCTGAAATATTGCGATCTTTCTGGCAGTAGGTATCTGTTCACTTTCTTATTCACAGCTATTCAATATTAAATAAATGGATATTCAATATGCACATTTCTTATTTCTATACTATATAACAGATTACAAACTGTAAAAAAATATTATTTTCTATTAGATTTACAACATAAATACAAAACTATAAACTGATCATTTTAAAATAATTACAGACAACCATAAAAGGGAAAGAAACAGAGTATACAAGGACACAAAAATAAATAGCTAAATAATACTAATAAAAGCTAATAAAACTATACATAACAAAATAATGATAAATGTTGCGTAACAAATTACAAATGTTATTTTCGTAATCTTCTAAAATCTAAAACAAGGACAATTAGCCATTTCATTATACAAGATAATCCTTTAGAAACAAATTGTCTGAGTTATTTTTCATGGTATGAGAAAGGGAACAAATAGTAATGGGTAAGTAAATGGCTTTTTCTAACAATTTAGCCTACATTATTCATTATACTGGTAACAGACGTAAGATCATTTTCTTTATGGTATGAGAGAAGAGAAGAGATAATAATTGGTAAATGATTTTCTAGAATATATTTAAAGAAAGCCTTTCTATTCTTGAAGAATCAAAACAAACAAATGTTCAAGTCAAAATTTTCTATGAATGAATTCACCTAACATAGTACGTCCAAGTTGACATAACTTTTGAAATGATTTCAACAAACATTAGCAAATTTTCTACAATTTCTGCTCAAAGACCCAGATATTTTAACTACATGTAATTCACTGTCAAATTATGGACAAATTTTGGCCATACGTCAACACAGACTTTCAACTTTACTAGGACCTGGAATCTTACTGGATATTCACTATTTGCAAATATGAATACTTTAAATTTGTGAGAACGATGTTCATGATGGGATGATATGAGTAACAAATTTGAAACTAGCATCTTGTTTCTTCTCGTTCATGACGTGGTAAATTAATTATACGATCTGCCGGACCAAACGATTCATTATGTTTGATTCTACGACCAGGTCGATGGACATTATTATTGGCTACATCAGCTGATACTGATTTTGAATTTGATTTGTTAGTTGCTTGACAATTTGATTCTAGTTCAATTGCAGTTCCTCCATTTTGATTTGATATTACATGGCCATTTTGCACAGCCGATTTAACTTTACGGAACGATCGCGTTTTCTCTGTGAAGTTGATATTTTTAATGTCTGGTCCTCGGATTGAGTTTGATCTTCGACGACGAAAAGACCTTTCTAAACTGTTTGCTCGACTACGAGATGGAGTGTTTGATCGACTACGAGAATTATCTCCCCTATCTGGTGTTTCTGAGCGGATTTTTTCTCGACTCAAAGCTTTACGCAGGTTTCCTGGTAATAAACTGACCAATGACCGACTAGCTTGTTTGTTTTTATGACTTAGAGTTGGTGACACATTTGGTGGGGAAACAATACCATTTGGAGTTACATGCAGATCTTGCTTACTGCCAAGATTTAAAAAATTTGGATTAGAATTTGATTTACGTAGAGGTTCTTCTGAAGGTTGGCGTTTCTGTGCAAGTAATTTACGAATATGTCTGGCATTAGGACTTGGACTGCGAAGTGCATTGGAATCTCTTCTAATATTTTGGTGATAATCTAACGATCGCCTTCGTTCGTAGTCAGGTTTGTCATCACATGGCCTAAATTCCTTAAGTTTCGGAAATGGAACAGGAGGTTTGGCATTGTTCATATTTTCATCTGGGTGACTGACCAAGTCTTCTAAGCTATCAACAGATTCCTGACTTTTATATAAAACTGTCTTCATATGAGAACTAAGATCTTCACAACTCGTGGCTTTTTGAGATTCACTACCAATACTTTCTGCACGTCGTCTTTTCTCCTGGGAAGATTTGACACGCCCAGTGGTCTGGGTTCCTTCGTAATACGAGGAAGTAGAAACAGGGTCTAGATATGGAGCATAAGCTTCTGGTGGGGGAGAAGGCAAGTCACTGGAGGAACCTGTGTGTGTCAAATATTCTGATGTAGATTTAGAGTGATCTCCCTGAACGTCCTGACTATTCACTGATGAAGAACTGGAACTCCTTCGTCCTCGCATACGGTGAGACCTTGTAGTTGTACCATTTGATCCATGACTTCTCTGTGATCCTGGTCTGGGAGGTGGTGCTGGGGGTCGGGCTGTTAGTATTTGCGAATTATTCTGAGGAAATGTATTATTAATAGTAACCATGGCAGGTGGAGGATTTGGCACTGTAGGTGTGGGAACATTTTTAGGATTATACTGTGACTGACGAAGGCTAAAAAATTAAGAAGAAAAAAAGTGTGAGAGATCAATAATTTATCAAAATACAAATCTTGTAGTCTCTATCAAACAGACCATCATGTTCATCGCTATGCTTTGGATGCATACACGCATAAAGATTGTCACATTTTAAATTAAATATCATATCAAGCCAAATCTTTATACTGTGTAACACAACACAGTTCTATGAATAACATCATTAATATAGCATATTAAAGGGCATTACCTCTAAATGTAATATCATAAATTGTTGGAATTGTTAATCATTGCAATAATCAAAACATTAAACATAAACAATACATACAAATTCAAATCAGATTCGTTGCTAGGGTGTCCATAAGATAATGCGAAGGGCTATAAATCTAGATGTAATTAACAGAAACTATAGAAATTCAAAAGGATTCTGCATTTTACTGATGTAGATAATATCTAAACGGTATTAATTTTACAAATATCAGATTTAATGTAGTCTGTAGAATATTCTCAAGGAATTGAGGGTGATGCAACAACAGAGGCAACGGCAATATGAAACCAAATTTCAATTTTATTGATATTTAGCATAAACATTTAAAAATCTTGGTCATCTTTAGGAAATGTCCTATTTGAACCGGACAAGTGTCAGAAATACCTACCCAATAGATGCTGTATGGTCTTGTGAATTAACTTTAGTTTGACGTCTGACAACTGTAGGTTCACTACTATCTACATTATCATCTTTGTCTGAAAAACACAAAAACTTGATATCATGTTACAGAATTTATAGAAAGACAAATGCTGGTTTAATCAAGTGGGTATGTCAAATATCAATGTATCACAACATGATATAAAATATATTACATATTCAGCTATATTATTATATCAATATCTTATTATATATGCATAAGCCTATATATACTCATTGAATTAACAGCAATAAGAAATTCTTTAAGTGGGTTAAACAAATAGTGCGATATATATTTTGATTGGGAAATTTCAGACGAAGTAAGCAAGCTATTTCTTCACAATTTAGCATTCAATTTAATTAAAGATACATTATTTGAAATTTAGGGAGCTAGCCATTCTTGCTATAATAGTTCGAAAACAGATAGTGTAAAATGAATAATTTGAAAATTTCATTCAAATTACTTTATTGCGAGCGAAGATATTAGCCTTTGAAGGTTTGACGAGATATGTACAATCATTTCAACCACCGTACTGATTGTTTGAAGCTGTCTCGCTCCTCCATTTTTAAATTAAATCAAAATATGGCTGAATCGTTCTTATCTATTTAATATCAGAGAAATCTGATGCCATCGAGAGTTGATTATGGCCTGGATCAGTTAATTAATGTTTAATTAATAATTTAGAAAACATTTCAAGCTTAAAGAAAGACCTGCAATAGGCATAATGTATGTTTAATTGAATAAGAAAAATGTGACACACTTACCAGTTTTAGGTGGGTTATAATCCCAGCTTTCTTGTAATATGTTCAGTATATCAGGTGAATGCATAAGCCTTGCGGACACTACAGTTAAAGAATGGAGTTTTTCAAATTCTTCTAAATAATCATAGATTTCTTCTGTAGTACCTTTCCTGTGTGGCTACAAAAGAAAATAAAACATACATATACCGATGTTAATATTGAAGATTTACAATATAGTCTCAATTACACCAGCTCTTATTGCCTACCAAGGACATTTGTATGGACACTATATTTAGCACCAATTGCGTATATGGTTACAAATGTCATTTGGAGATTTCCATTTGTCTTACTATTTGTTAAGAGGAAAACTAATCTTCGCGTTGCATTGGAAGTACGCAGAGCTTATTGCTTACCGGTAAATAGAGACAACAGAAATGCTAAATGTGAACAGCAAGTTATGAAAATCTGTTTATGGAAAACTTTCAATTAAATATTCCTCACAAATGTTCAGTAAGGTATCTGCAAAATAACTATTTTATAATTTCTTGTGGTTGCTAATATTCTCAGGAGATAGAGAAAGAGCAATTGGGACTAACATATAGTATTTGACAAAAACAAGTTTTACTATTACTTACCTTAGCTCTATCTAATGTATCAACTATATATTTATCTAATATATCATATATTTTGATATCTTCTCCATTTCTGCACTGGAAATTATAAATTCCTTCTCCCATCGGCGCCACTCGACCAGCTTCTAAGGTCAGCTGTCCAAATCCAGAACTCTCAAAACATCGAATACTTTTTAATGGCCATTGAGCTAATACTGAACGGGATTCCTAGAAAATAAATTATAACATCCATGACTTCAGACTAATTACTGATAAATTATAACACAGTTAATCACTCATGACTGATAAATTATAACATGAATGACTCATGACCAATAACTTCTAACAAGAATGACTAATGACTACTATTAATGACTCAAAACATGCATGACTCATGACAACTTAAGCACAATTCTCTGTAATAGTCTTACTGGAATTTGTTTATTTTAACAGACTGGCGAAGAAAAATGAGTAAATTTTTAGGCCTGCCATTAAAACTTACCTGTAATGCTAAAGTAAGACCGCAGGGTGAAACATGTAATATACAGTTAGCTCCCTTGCATCCTATACTTGTTGTTGCATCTGATTCTTCAGGTTGAATGCAGAATACATCATCTGAAACAATAAAACACATATTACAATAATATTGCTTTGTTAGTGTTATGAAATGAAATTATATGCCCACATTATGTAATAGATGGACAGAGAACAGGGCAATCAATAGGGCTCATCCACTCATTGTCCCTATGCTTTACATCGAATTAGAAAAAAAACTGTTTAACAATGCAGTCCCGATCACGTTTACAAGGTTTTATAAAAAAGGGATGTAACTTCGGAACAGAATGTCACGGATCGCAGATTATCGATAGGGTTAGTCCTCTCATGACCTCAATGCTACACACCAAATTTGAATTAATCCGATAAAAACTGTAGCCTCTCAGCTACTAGTTTCGTTCTTATTCGAACTCTTCAGGCTTAAATGAGGATGTGCAGTGGCCCTCTATATATAGTGTCGGTGGGCACCGGAGCACATGTGATGTCACAGATGGACCGGGGCCGATCTTTGGCACCGGAGTCGATTATTCCGAAAAGTGTGCAAAGATATTCGGCCAAGAATTTGCCGTCATGATTATGCTTATTTGCATTGACTCAATTTCGATAGGGTTCGTCCTCTCATGAACTCAATGCTTCATACCAAATCTAAAAAAGCTCTGTTAATAACGGTGACGTCTCAAAAGGCTGATTTTTGATAGAATTTGTCCTGAGTTACCCTAATGCATCAAACCAAATTTGAAAAAAATCTGTTAAAAAATATAGCATTTTATCATGTTCACAAGGTTTTCGGAAAAGGAGCCATAACTTTGTCTTTGGAACATACATGTAAGGTCATAAACTCATCCGAGATCTTTTGATACTTAACATCTAAATCAGACAAAAATTGTGTGCTCTAGAGGGATCACAACCTTTGTAAAGAGGATATAACTCCATAACAGAAGTTCACATTGTCCATAAAAGACATGGGACATAACTCCAGAACTGAAGATCTGATATGAACCAGAACTGAACTCATCCAAGTTCTTTTGATCCTTAAAACATATGTTAAGCTTCATCTGAATCAGACAATAATCTTTGGGATATAATCAAAAGTATCATCAAACTGGATAGTATTGTGCGCATATAATAAACGATGACCTTTCTCAAAAACAACAAAAACCCAAAATGTTTGTCTCAGTTCATTGGAGTGTTTCAAGTTTGGGTCAAAGTTAGTAATGTTTTAATTTTCTGCACAGGAAATGAAAATAAAAAATCACTCTAACACTATAGATCAACACGAACTAAGTACTAACTCAACATCGAGTCAACTCAAAATTTAGATTAACTTTGTTGTAATAAAAATAGTATAACTTTTGATTAAAGGAGACAACAATGAATTGTAAAGAAACTAACATGTAAAGCATTTCTTTATTTTATTATTTTGTTTAGGTGGAATAAACAATGCATGAATACAGCACAGACAAAGAACATTTAAAACAAAATAGAATTCAATAAAAAACAGTATTAATTCCATGTACTAGGAAAAAAAAAACATTGTAAAACTATGAAATGGAACATGTAAACGAAACACAATGATGATTATGTTTTCCACTTTATAGGCAAGTATTTAGTCTGATTAAAATCAGACATCTCTTATTTCGTTTTCTTCTTTTTATATTCACTATCTACTTTTCTTTGACTCAATTTTACTTTATATTTGACACGATTCACTAGTCCTGTGTCCTGTTTTTGCTTCCTTATGGTAAACAGCCATTGAAAACAAAGAGTAGACACAGTCCACTGATGCATAAACTCTCTGAAGTCTGTAGCATACTACATGTAGATCTGGCATTCATTCTGAATCTGTTAGATTTTGTTGCATAGAAAATCAGAACCATCGATGATGAGGGTATTCTGTTAAGCAGAGATCAATGCTTTGATTCTAAATCTAACTGAGTGAGAGTAATAAAACGTTCCGAATTCAAAAGCCCCTTTTATGACCTCTGAATGGATCTCTCACTACAGCCAGTCAGATCTTCATCTACATGTACATGTAGTGGAGGCCATCGCAAGTATAAAAAACAAAATGAAATATAGATCTGTATGTTAATCAGATTGAGTAAAGATAAGCCTTTTGATATGATGGCATTTATTAATTAGTGTCATCTATTTATTTAAGATTTACGAAGGGGGGGGGGGCATCAGCCTTATTGTTGGTTTGGTAACATTCAAGTCGGCTATTGAGTATTAAAGTGAAGTGGTCCTTGATATTTTCTGAGAATCGTGACACACCAATTATTCATCAAGGTTTCAACTGTACTATTTATTAAGAATATTGATTTCATAGAATTGATAAGCTTCGTGAACAAAGAAAACCCAATATGACACAGACACATTTTTTTTTTTTGACATGCAGCCTAAGGAAAGAAAGATGATTTGGTCATCAACATCCCACGATATTATACAAAAATTTGTTTGAGTAGAAACACAAAATTTATTCAACTGCAAAATTTCTAATCAGTAAAATGCATAACTACTGTAATACCTTCCTGTGTGTACAAAGTTTTGTTACTTTATCTTGAGTGGCTCCTCAGTCCTGTAATATGCACTGTAAAAAAAACAGGGAGGGGGAGGGGGAAAACAGCCCATATTGCTACATTTATTAAAGATACATTATGGGAGATTTTTATAGAGAGTTGGCTATTCTTGCTATAACAGTTCAAAAGTAGATGATGAAGGAAGAATATATTGAAAAATTCAGTCAAATTACTTTATTCTGATCATAGTTATCATCGTTGTAATATTTGACTAGAAATGGTAGTGAAATGTGCCTTCACCTTTGCCGATCGTTTGATTGACAGGCGTTTTAACAACTCCACCTACATATCTCGATTATCAAGTAAAGTTTTCAATGGCATGCAGAAACGCTCTACAGCAGCCTCGCTAAGTACACTCTATCATTTAGCCTCGATCTAACTGACGTATTCTCATCAGGGTGCGCCATATTTGAATTTATCAATGAGTGAAATCCTATTTAAATCCGAGCTGTAGCCGAGCCATCCGTGGGTCTACAGAGTTCATTTTGGGCTTGTTGTTTAAATAAAAATCTAATTTATAATTTCTATAACATCTGAAGCCTAAATTAAGACTTGCAATAATCAGATTTTGCTCTTGCATAATGTATGTTTAACTAGATAATTTATTTAGGTCCATGGCCGTATTTTAGACGGTTTAGTCCATGTCTTTGGTTTGGACTCCTTCAAAGTATGACATAGTTTTTTCCCAGTTTTGTCTAGGCTCAAGCAGACGGATTCACATGATTTTAGAAATAATGTCTGGTCAAATCTGAGACACCTGGTTAACAAAACTACTTGAAAACAGAACTACTAACATTATGAAAGCTGCGTTTGTGTTTTCATTGAGCCCATGTCCAGCCTGTTTCCTTGTTACTGAACTTTGTTATTGAACGAATGAAGATTGAATTGATATAGGCTTGACATTCACAGCCTATTTCAATATTCCTCTTCTGTACATCGTTTAGCGTGAGATAATAAGCAATTTACTATTAAATATAGCAATAACATGAACTGAAAATTATTTTTTAAGATAATAATTTAGATAGTTGAAACAAATCATAATGGTTAATTGTTATCTTTAACTCAATTTTTATGAACAGAAATGAGTTATTCTTCAGTTGGCAACTGGCATATACATGTAAAGTATATTTAAGGATTGACCAAATTTAATAAGTTTTGGGCTTTGATTACCGTTTAAAATCTTGAAGATGCTCTGGAGGCTAATGGTATCATCAGATTAACTTGAAACTTTATCATAGTTACGTTCATACGATAAAGAAGTTGATAATTACTAACAGAGCTACCGACCTTGATCACTTTTTGAAATCTTGTGAACTCCCTTGTGGTTAAAGTTATTATCCGATTGATTTTAAATTTATACAGTGTTTATGTTCATAAGATGAAGAATCATATTGATCTTCAACAATTTCTTATAGCCAATCAAATTTTATTTATTTCTAATAATTACTTCTTAATCATTTTTTAGTTTATTTTAATTACCAAATTACAGACAAAAGAATAAATATGCTACAATTTTTGTGGACTCCTTTTTCTATCTCATTGAATTGTTTCTAGGGAAAATTTTATTTCTCCTTTTCTAACTATTCAATGACTTTTTTTGTATTGAAAGAAATCCACCACAATGAACAACATTAAATGTTATGTTTAATTAAAGACATTGGAACAAAATCAATATAATTTAATAATGCCTATCAATGATCAATGGTTAAAGTAAGATAGTTTCTCTTAATTAACAGTTCTAAATATAGAAATCAACATCATTATTAAAGAAACTAATTAGGAAATGGGACTGAATAAAATTATGTACTCAAAGTCCAAAATTTAAAGAAAATATGTTCAAGCTCAAGATAATAATCTTTAATATACAAGGCAGGTTATTCGGTCAAAAAAGAAAAATACTCGGGTTCTGATTTATACATAAAATGTGAGTTATTAATGGTACGACATAAGTGTTTAAATGTTAAAACATAATATAATATCTATTTCAGACATTTTAAAGTATTCATTCATCATATTTTGTGTCAATTTTAAGACTTCATTCAAACAGTTCATTACCCTTAAGGCATGATATTTTATTTTATATTCTAACGGTTGAAAATTAGAATACTACTTAGTAGATAATAATAAATACCAAATCTTAATTTAATTATTTTAAGACAGATTTTAAAATAAGCTAATATCATACTTTAATTGAAATATTTCACTGCCAAAAGCTCAGAAGCAAACTGAAAGTTATTTTATTGATAAATTTAGTCAATTGCTTACTATTACTCATTATGCATTTCATTTTCCAGAAAAGATTTTGTTTTCAAAATTCACATCATATTCCATACTTAAAACACTGTACTGAGTTTGTCTGAAGAGACACTAATTTCAGATCTTAATTTGGAATTAATTGAATAAATCTCACTCCATTTTTGGGGGGCTTGTTTTTACTCCTCTTTATATACTGAATGATCATTTGGTTATGAGAAATGTGTTTATAAATCTCTCTTGAATATCTTTTGAAAAAATCTTAATATATTCAAAACTTAGTAGCAGAAGGCCATTGAAGCATACTAAATCTGAATATGGTAAAAAAAAAAAATTGCAGCAATCTGAAACTAACTTAAATTAATTTCTTTGACAATAATAAATATAAAAGTATCTAAATTATTGTCAACACTAGCTTGAATTGTAATTTTGTCGAAATAAAATATTAATTGAAACTTTAACAACAAATTTTATTGTAATTGACTGTTGTCTAATGCTAAATGGGCAAGCTTTACAATTGTTTGTGTGCATGTACAGAGTCATTGGGTTATTCATACAGCATTGTGACAAACGATTCTGTAGAGATGTATGTTGTATTAAATTTTACGAACCACAGTTAGAACTGCCAGTTTTCCAAAGTCTGGCTATAGATTGGCAAAATCGGAATACTAGTTTGATAATCTTGACAGATGTACAACAATGTTCAGAGAATTCAACAAGTTCAGGGAATCCTAGGGAACTTTCATCAGCGTCTAAAGTACAACAATGTGAAAATGCTCTGTATTTACAGCAGTTTCATCAAAAATCATGGACAGATTGAGGGTATCTTTTTGAAAAACTTTATCTAGCTTTTCAATGAATTAGGTATATCCAAATGCATACATGTATGTGTCATGACAATAAAAGATAGGTTTTTAAGGTTTTCAACATTTTTGCATTAAATGTAGATATAGATAAAGAGCTGACTGTTATTGCTTTCATAACAGTACTTCAAAAATAGACAATGAAAAATGAATAAATTGAAAATTTCAGTGAAATGATTGTATTCTGAGTGAAGTTATCAGTGCTTGAAGTTTTGATAATGTATAGGTTAAATAGTCTTGATTGTCAAGTATCATTGCTATGATAATAAACAAAGTCTTGATTATGGCACAGATGTTCTAATCCATTCAATATCTCTGCCTTAAATAATAAATAAGTAACACTTGAAAAAGACCTGCAATAGGCGGATTTATAGTGCATCTTTAATACATTAAGGGCATACTTGATTTAGTTATAGTTCATTAGACCGAAGCGATATTATCAAAATGGTTGATATGTTACGCGATAACATTTCTTCCATCAAAAGGCTTATTGAAATATACATTACAGCACATAAAAGAAACAATATCTAGGTCTAGTGTTGGTTTTGTTTAGACAAATAATGGATTTGAACATATTCTTAAGAAGTATTGTTTTGTACCATCAAACTAAATCCACACAATGCATGGGTAAAATAATTAAATCTTCAAAATTTTATTTATTGTCTCTCTTTGTCGTTTCAGTATTCAAAAAACTGTCACATAAGTTAAATTATGGATGAGGTTACATGTATAATCAAATACAAACAAGCACATATGTTACAATAGAAAACAAATTATACAGGAATTTTCACACTGAGTAAATATTTTTGATGTCAACCATCTTAGAAATAAGTCCTGCTCCCTCTGTACCACGTCGGGTGATGGACTAAGCGAGAAAGAGTTCGAAGCAATACTCTAGTCACTTGATTTACATTCCATGTACCCGCTGTATACTGATCATTAAATCAAGTACGCCCCAAATTCCAAAGAATCAACCGAGTCTCATCCCTTCCAATCCCTTGTTTCAGAACTGATTCTATGCTTTAATTAACGTTATTCACGTTTGTTGTATTGATGTTACATTGAAAATTGAATATATTGAATGACGTTTTACTCACCTTGTATGTGCTTTTTCAGTGTGGATTGAATCTGTAATAGGAAGACAAACACATCAGCCATCTTTTTTGAGTTGCCTGATAAACACAGCTGTTCATCTGGAGTGGTAATTTCAAAACTTATCTGGCGGTTTTTGATGTTGATGCCTTTTTCCACTCGAAATATGGGCCATAATATCAATTGACCTGAAAAATTAATCGTTTTTAAAACATAACTTAAAGATAAAAATACAACAGTATAATTATTCAGCTCAATGAAGAGAGTTTCTACAAGCATTTATGTTTATCCCTCATGCAAAAGACAATCAAAATCATAAATAATCAAGATACATGTATTATAAATGAATATTTATAATTTATAGCAAGGAGCTTTGCCATATAAATATTTTTTTAAATTGAATGCCATAAATTCAAATTATAAGAAAATACCGAACAGAGGTACAATTTGGCTCCATGTAGCAATACTAATACACCACAAGCATTCATGGTTCACGCTTTTCCTGTGTCCTTAGAATAAAACCCTAAATAAAAAGATAGGGGGCTAGGCAACGAAACATATGCCCACAGCAGCTAAGTCATCCAGGCAGTCAACAAGAGTAGTCGCAAATTTTTACTTTTGTCAGTAATGAAACAATTATGATACACTAAAATCTGATTAAGAGGAACAAGTCATTGAGTAATCATCAGAAAATCATTAGAATATGTTTGACTTCTAGGTCTATCCCATGCTAACATTTAGTATACAAAACATATAATATCATGGATTTAGCTGTTCAAGCTATCAAAAATCACGGAAAATCAATATACTTGTTTGTCTCAAGACCTTGTATCCACAAGATACAGTGTACATGTATTTCAAAGTGATCAAGGGCCATAACTCTGGCAGTAATTATCAAAAATCGTAAATTAATATGCTTCGTCTCATGACCATAAACACTGTATATAAATTTAAAGTCAATTGGATATTAACTTTAGCCTTTAGAGCATCCTCAAGATATTTCAAAGTGATCAAGGGCCATAACTCTGGCAATAATTAACGGAAATTGTTGAAAATCAATAAGCTTCTTCGTCTCATGACCTTAAACACTGTGCATAAATTTAAATCAAATATTAACTTTAGCCTCTAGAGCCCCCACAAACAATTGTGGATGCTGGCCGGCCCACCAGACAGACATCAATATACATGTACAACCACATTTCAATTTGGGCGTATAAAAAGAAGTTCTATAATTAGACTATAACTATTCGTAAAATAGAGATTTTCCCAGTTCACATGAGGTCTAAATGACAAATTTTAAAAAAAATGAATTTTTTCAATACAAAACTTATTGTGCTTAAAATTAAATGAAATTTGAATAACAAGAGGAACTCAACAAACTACATGTATGAAATAGTTAACAATGGTTATCTTTCTTTAATCTACATGTATGATAAAGGAAGTCTTTTTTAGATAAAGTTGTTGTTTAATACAGATTTTAGAAGATAAACGAGTCAGTTATTATGCAATATGAACCTTATCTTGAAAATGATAAATAACTCCAACATATCAAAGGGGACGTGTTGTTGAATTTGGTGACCATGAGATATTTCAATGAAAATAATATTGTCTGGATAAATATCTGCAATTATGTTTACTACATCATAAAAGCAACCTTAAACATAATACATGTATGTGAAAAAGTTAGTAACATTATCTATCAATTATCCAGATATTGGGCCTTACTCACATTGATAAACAGAACACATATGTCAAATATGTGTTAATGATTTTGTTGAAAATATTTAATATGAAATGAAATGAAATGAAATGGGGTTTAACGTCCTACTGTTTTGCTCCGAACTGGGCTAATGAAGACGGGCATACGCCATACAGTGTGCTATGAGGGAAATTTTGCCCGTTCAGCGGCACTACGGCCTACTCTTATATCGAGTTCCAACTGTCAAGGGATCTTTTACGTGCACGCCAATATGTACACGGGACCTCGGTTTTTCGTCTCATCCGAATGACTACACAGCTGTCCTTGTCAGGCCCTCCGTCCTGCATCACTGACAAGGGGAAACCACGCCGGATGAACTTTCTCGGCCAATGCAGGGATCGAACACCCGACCTCCAGGCTAGCGAGCCAGTGCCTTATCTGATATTTTAATATGATTAATAATGGACAAGCTAATTTTTTATTTCAAAAGATGAAAGTAATGGTTCACGTTTTGCATTTTAATCAACTTTATGGTAGTTTGCAAGGGATTCCTAATCGCTCAAATCTTGCTCAGGGACTTGCTCAGCGAAACTAACTTTAGTTTTTTCTTTTTGGCTTACTGCATCAACACACATTACCAGTATCTTTACATGTATTACAGGAGTCTGACCTTCTATCCGTATATATATGCATACACCATGTCCAACCAGACAATATATAATAAAAAAGAACAGGAATGCAATGCCTGTTGAAGACTCGATTTTACCTGCTCTCGCTTTGGCTCGTTTTTTTTTTCAACAATTCGTAATGTCAGGCAATCAAACCTCTGTCGATTCACTCAAATATGTTTTTTCTTCAATCTAGTCGTTTTGATTTGCATCATTGTCTCGATCTTTAATCTGTTATTGGTACTGCTGTCTTCATTAGCACGGTTGGTGCAGGAATTCCATTTCATTTGTTATTGGTACTGTATTGAGCTTTGTTTAAAATTGTTCTTTTGACAAGATTACAATGTATAATCGGTCACTTTAACAAATGCGATTTCTGTTTGGATTCAGAGTTGGCATCTCTATTCTAGTACAATAAAACTACCATTTATTATTCTGCTAACAAATGAAATGAAATGGGGTTTAACGTCCTACTGTTCTGCTCCGACTGGGCTAATGAAGATGGTCATATGCCATACCGTGTGCTATGAAGGAAATTTTGCCTGGGCAGCAGCTCTATATCGAATTCTAACTGTCAATAGATCTTTTACATGCACACCAATGTATACACTGGACCTTGATTTTTGCTCTCATCCGAATGACTAGACAGTTGTTCTTGTCAGGCCCTTTGTCCTATACCACTGACATGGGGAAACCAAGTTGGAAAATTTCTGCTAACAAATGGTATATGCATATTTTTGGTCATTGTGTGACATGGTCTTTTATATTGAATATACAGGACACCAACAGATTTTGATTTCAAGCATACATTCAAATGTATAGAATACAAATGGAGTTTAATTTCTCATCAACACAATAATTTGGACACAAACATGCCAACAGTGAGGCCGAGGTCCCCCGCCGCAATCCCAAAATAAACAGATGACAAATATTAATTAATTGCACATTTATCTTTTTCAAAAGTATTGTGCAATCAAACTGATCATGTATACTTAGTCTAAGCAGAAAATGTTCACGATTGAACTCAGTCAAGGTTTTGAAGTACCTGGTAAGTTTCATCACTCTCCATAAGTTAGAATCAAAGTTATTATGTCCCAAAGCATCGACCAATGAAATTGCTTAATAGCTTTAGCAGAAAATGTTAATCATTGAACTCGTCTGGATATTCACCTAATGAACATCTACACCAAGCTTAAAATTCTACCTCAATTAAAAGTCTTGACCCATCAAATTGCTTATCACTACTTAGCCTAAACATACATTATGCAAGAGCAAAATCTGATTATTTCAAGTCACGGATGGCTCGGCTACAGCTCGGATTAAAATAGGATTTCACTTATTAATTAATTCAAATATGGCGAATCCTGATGAGAATACGAGGCTAAATGATAGAGTGTACTTAGCAAGGCCGCTGTAGAGCGTTTCCGCATGCCATTGAAAACTTTACTTGATAATCGAGATATGTAGGTGGAGTTAACGCCTGTCAATCAAACGATCGACCAAGGTGAAGGCACATTTCACTACCATTTCTAGTCAAATATTACAACGATGATAACTATGTTCAGAATAAAGTAATTTGACTGAAATTTTCAATATATTCTTCTTTCATCATCTACTTTTGAACTGTTATAGCAAGAATGGCCATTTCTCTATAAAAATCTCCCATAATGTATCTTTAAGTAAAAAGTCTCGACCAATCAGATTAAAGTATCTACTTAGCCTAAACAGAAAATACTCATCATCAAACTTAGTCAAGATACATATATTGATGTATACATGAAGTTTCACCACTCTCACTCAGTTAGAATCAAAGTTATTGAGCTCCAAAGTCTCAAGCAAACAAACCGCTTATCGCTCTGCTTACCTGAGCAGAAACAGAAACTTTGTCAAGTAATTAAGTTTCATCACTCTGACTTAATTAGAAGCAAAGTTATTGACTTCCAGAGCATCAGTCTATCAAATTGCTTATCTCTGCTTAGACTAAGCAGAAAATGTTCATCTTCAAACACCATAAAGGAATTCACACAATAAACACGTACATCAAGTTTAAACATTCTACCTCAGCTAGGGGAATTATTGTTCCCCATAAATGTGAAATGAAATGAGGGTTTAATGTCCTACTCCTACTGGGCTAATGAAGACGGATCTTTTACATGCATGCCAATGTGCACACAGGACCTCGATCATAGGCGTACGAGCTGGGGGGGCACCAAATGCTGGGAAAATTTGGGCACACAATTGTACTTTGTAAAAGTTGTATAAAAAAATATTGTGTTCTTGAATGTGTCCAATTTAACAGCGAATTTATTATTATTATGTAACATACTAAGAACCTAACTACATTTTTTGGGCACCAACCACCACCGCCCCCCCCAGTCAAAAATTTCCCCATATGCCTATGACCTCGATTTTTCATCCCATCGGAATGACTAGACAGTTGTCCTTGTCAGGCCCTCAATCCTGCACCACTGACAAGGGGAAACCAAACTAGAAAATCCTGATGAACTTTCTCGGTCAACCTGCAACCTCTAATCTAGCGAGCCACTGTGGCTCCAAAAAAGCGTGATGAACAGACAGACTCATTTTAATAGTCCCCTGCTTTTTTCGAATTACATGTATGAATAGAGGGAGAGAGAGAGAGAGGGGGTTTAACGTCCACTAGACACAAACTAGGTCATTTTGGGACTAACACATGGTTCAATTTTATTTCAATAATTCGCTTGCAAGTAGGGGTCTTTAGCAGTGGGAGGAAACTGGAGTACCCGGAGAAAACCCATGAGGTTGGACAGGCGACCCTACTCGTCAAATACAACCTGGAAATCGAAACCTATGCCAGTTGACTCAATGACAGACCTTATGATACAGCGCACACATGCTAACCATTCGGCCATCCAACCCCTGATGTATGGAAAGTTATTGTTCTTGTTATGGTCATATGTATTTCACTAATTGTGACTTTCTTTATGTGGAATTACTTTTACTTTAAAAGGTTAATTTTTAATTAAACAATAGCTGACTTACCTTTTGGTGAAATACTTTTATTTTTAGGTTTTTTATTAAAATATTCTAATACTGGTTTTTCTCCGCATTTTCTCAAAATAAAATATTTCTGTTTCCATTTATCTCTTTTACCAAGAAATAATTTCTGTCTTTTACTGTATTTGTAGAAATATTCCTGTAATGTAAAAAAGATAGGTTGCCAGACAACGGAACATACGCTCACAGCAGCTAAATCATCCAAGCGGTCAACAAGGATTGTCACATATTTATTCTTTTGTAGGAAAGTGAAGTCATTTACTGTAATTTACAAGACAATTTCATACAGATCAGCTTATAATTTTCGTCGTTTGAGGGTTCACAAAGTTATACAACTGAAACAAGGGCCTTAACTCTGGAAGTAATTAATGGAAACTGTTGAAATTTGACAGGCTTTTTCGTTTTACTAATTTAAATAATGCTCATAAATTTCATACAGATCGATTGATAACTTTTGTCATTCGAATGTTCACAGAGTTCACAAAGTAAAACAAGAGCCATAAATCTAGAAGTAATTGACGGAAATTGCTGAAATTAGTTAGACTTCTTCGTTTCACTAATCTAAATGATGCATATAAATTTCATACAGGTCAAATGATAACATTTGTCAGTCGAGCATCGAACAAAGTGAAACAAGGGCCATAACTCTAGTCGTAATGAACAGAACTTGCTGAAATTCAATAGGCTTCGTCGTTTCACTAATCTAAATGATGCATTTAAATTTAATACAGATCGACAGAGAACGAGGGCCATAAATCTAGACGTAATCAATGGAAACTGCTCAAAAATATAAATTTAAAACCGATCGTCAGATAACTTTTGATGTCCGAGCGTTTACATGGTGCAACAAAGTGAAACAAGGGACATAACTCTAGAAGTAATTAGCGGAAATTATTGAAATTAAATAGGATTCTTCATTTCACTAAAGTAAATAACATAATATAAGCTTATCAATTTTAAAACAATCGGATGATAAATTTTGGCGTTAAATAAAGTGTTCAAAAGAAATTGTGGACGATGGACGGACACAGACAAACTGACGGACGGACCATGACCACATTTCCATGTGGGTGTATAAAAAACAGATAGAAACAATGCCAAAAAACCCCAAAAGATACCTCTTAATTGGGGTAAAAAATAAAAGTGTAGATTTAATTAAATTTAAAGTTTTGATTTGCTTTGTGAAGTGAGCATCTGGGTTCATAGTCAATGTTGAAATATAAATTGATTTTTTTTCCAACAGTTGACAGTTTCAACCAAAAATGGTGCTAACATTAATAAAGAATCTGACTTTATTTAAATGATTAGATCTGATAGTAAAAACAGATCAAATCAACAAAATTCAATATTTATTTTGACCCAAGTCAAAGAGGTTTGGCAATTTATTCTAACTGTCCCATTAAATCAATGATGTAAATTAAGTGTACAGGAGTGATGATTCATCAACTAGATGTATAAAAGTTAATCAGTAATTAGCATTGATGGTTAACTAATTAAAAGATGATGATGATATAAGTTTGCTTAATTGGCGTCAGTTAGTGGTAAATATAGGTATGCGAAGAATGTACATCTGGGTTATTAAACACAGTTTAAAGAAATTAGACTTCAACCGCCTTACTTAGCCTCGGGTGTTTACCAAATACAATTAGAGTAGACCCTACATACATGTACCTACGCATCATCAGAATTTGGCACAAGTTAGTGATCTATGAGTACAGCCTCATGTTTATAATGGATTTGTCATAACCAGTAACTGTACCAAAGATTTAGCATTAATCATTAGTAAAGCAGTTACGCAATATATTATGTAAATTATTTGATTCATCAGGGAAAACAAAAAAAAAATTCTTTTTAAATCCTAGCCATGAGGATCTAATTTTATAAGCAAATGAAAATAGAAACAATACATGTTTTGATGCAGATATATCCTCGATTACGTAGTATATTTTTTAATCCTCATTGTTTTTCCTGACTCATTTGTGTATGCTGAAACATGTAAGTGTAATAAATACTTTAATACAAGATTAGTTTTTCTTTCTTCTACTTTACACTTTCCAATTTTAATGTGTAAATGACTTTTGTTTTACTAAGTTTTAACTCTTAAAATTTTATAACATTAACTTTTACACTTAAAATAGAAAAAAAATGTAGGCATCCATGAAATTTAATAATGGATAATAATGCATTTATTTCTAGGCCACTAATAAAGCAATCTACTTCATCTGTCATTGGAATTGTTTCTGCCTAGTCATTCGGATGGAACAGAAAAAAAACAAGGTCGCGTGTACACCATGGCAAACATGTATAAGACATAAGAACCTCAACAATTGGAATTCAATTGCTGTCTGGGAAAATATTATAGCATACTGCGTAGAGTATTGCCATTTTCATTAGCCTGAGAAAGAGCAGAAAAGTAGGACGCAAATCCCACTTCAATCATTTATTTGAATTAAATTTTTTATTGAAATTGAGCGTAGTATAATTTTGCTGATTTAAACAACAAAATCAATCTTATGGGAATCCCATATTGCACAAGAAACCCCTGAAAATAAAATTCGATTAAAGTACATGTGCCAGTATGTAAATCAAATGTTAAAATGCTAAGCCATTCGGAAATGAACGCAAGATTTCTTTATTGTGGTTACGTAACACACCTAAAGACTTTTTCAATTGTACGATCGTGACTTGATAATCTTTACAAATACTAACATGTACCACTATAGCTTAGATAAATATAGGAATTGTTATCCAGGAACTTACGAAATTTTACATTTCACCGGAAAAGTATTTCTTTATTGTGGTTACGTAACACACCTAAAGACTTTTTCAATTGTACGATCGTGACTTGATAATCTTTACAAATACTAACATGTACCACTATAGCTTAGGTAAATATAGGAATTGTTATCCAGGAACTTACGAAATTTTACATTTCACCGGAAAAGTATTTTCAGAGATTCTGATAATTTCACAGGACTGTATGATATAATGGTTTGCAAGAATCTCATACTAAACATAGGCTGCCTGTCTACAGTTAGCTTTGTTTGAGAAACAGACACTAAACTAGTTAACCAACATTTTATGTCCTAAATCGACGAGCTTAGTCGAAAACAATATAGCTTACTTCGAGAATTTTGAGAAGTATCTATTCTATTTTCATTAAATGAAATTGAAGAACAGGCATGGAATTGAATAGGTTTATTAAGTCTTTGTGTGAAACGGAGTAGAAACGTTAAAAATGATTTACAAAACAATATACTAATTCTTGCATATGGCAGCCATTCAGGGCAGAGATTTATTCTCGAAGTATGAAGTAGATGAATCTCTGTGTGCAGGATGCACAAATATATTTAGAATTTATTCTTTAGCTTATATATGAACAGAATAGATGCAATATAAGTTCAAGTAAATACATAACATATTCTTCTTACAAGAAATACATGTATTACTTCCTGCTATGGTAATGTACATGTAATATATCATTTACTTGAGAAAGAAGTTTTATGTCAATTTACTCTTCATAATATGCTAAAAATGGTTGTGAAAGGATTTTTTTATATCCTGTTTATGTACTTTACAGGATGTCTACTTTCAATTTCTACAGGTTACTACTATACAGCATTAAAGTAGTACTAATAATTCAGAGCAAACAGTGGGTATTATCTAGGGGTGTTTGGATACCTCAACTTCACAATACAATAAATATCTGAAGTATGCTCACAATATGATTCAACCCCAATATGTTTTGGTATTATCAGTCCTCATCTTTTCTGCATCTCCAATAGAAAATAACTCTAAAGATAAATCTCTTATCATTACTATTAGGGCAACATGTTTTATGGGACTTTAGACAGATATAGCACATACATAATAAACATTTCTTGGAAAACTTGACATCAAATTTGATAATATGATTACTTTCGACGAAAAGTAATTTTATAATTGATCATTGTCAACTTTGTGCATCTTGTAACATGGAGAGAGAGAGAGAGAAATGGGGTTTAACGTCCACTCGACACAACTAGGTCATTTTGGGACTAACATATGGTTTAATTTTATTTCAATAATTCGCTTGCGCATAGGGGTTTTTAGCAGTGGGAGGAAACCGGAAGACCCGGAGAAAACCCACGAGGTTGGACAGGGGACCCTACTCCTTGTCACGTACAACGGGGGATTTGAAACCACGCCAGTCGACTCAATGACACTTTATGACACAGCGCGCGCACGCTAACCATTCAGCCATCCAACCCCCTTGTATCATGGACAGAGAGAAATGGAGTTGGCCATTGTTCAACTTTATTTCAATAATCTGCTTATGTGTACGGGTGTTTAGCTGTTGGAGGAAACTGGAGGACCTGGAGCAAGCCTGGTTGGACAGTCAACCCTAATCATTGTCACATACAAGCTGGGAATCGAAACCACACCACTTAACTCAATGACAGATCTTGTGATTTAACGCAAAAGTGTTAAACCCCATTTGCACCCCCATACCACCACCCCTGTACCATGGACAAAAATATTGTGATACATGATGTAACAATGTATTGTAACAACTCTAGTATTTTCTCTACAGTAAGATTTATAAAATGCAGAATGCTATAAAATTTTCAATTCTTTATACTCATTCTTTAAATCACCGACATAGGTAAGCTTAAGACACTACACCAAAGTTATTTTTATTTTAAATATTTTGATCCAAAAATTATTCAAACTGATTAATTCTCATGCAAGTTATGGTCACCATTTTGGCTGTGTTTTCTACAATATTTGTCGTGCATGCCTGCCTATTCTTTGTGATATTTTTTATTAATATCGGGGCACTCAAAAAGTTGAACTGAATAATTACATTAACAATTTTTAAATTGTGAGATGAACGACCTATCTGGATGACAGTGGATGTGTCTGAATCAAGATTTTACCATTTTTCAGCAATATAAGTGCAGAAGAACTAGATTTATTTTGTCAAACATTTACTAGGTAAGCTTACACTGAGTTCACTGATGTTGAACATCACCTAAAAGTATCAAAAATGGTCTAAAATAGATTTTGCTCAAAGCTAAATCATGCAAGATCTGGTTATCTAGAGTAACTTAGGGTGAAAAATAAGGTGATAATGGTGTAATAACACTATAACATTAACTGGCTAACATGTGTACCTATTGATCTTACTAATCACTGAAAAATCAGTGTAACTTAGCTAATTATCACTGCATTACCATCGTAAATTTTCATAGCCTAGACAATTAGCAAAATTTGCAAATAATTGGATATTTCAATTTTAAAGTAAGACATAATTTGTGATCCAATTTTATTACATTGAAGAATTTATCTAGGTTTACATTTAGCACATTCTTTTCTTTCTTTGGGCCTTTCCTGTTAGATTTCAGTACATTATGCAGAGAACAGTAAAAGTAAATTTATAAATTGATATGAAATAAACATATGGATTATTAATCAGATTGTCACTTAGAATATATTATAAACTAAATAACTAAATTTTATACTACATGTATTCATCACAGTTTTATCAGGATTGTAAACGTGGGGTCTTGTTCAATTTAAACTAACTACCTTCAACTACATGTTAATTTTCGGAGAAGGCCAAAATCTAATTTTATGAAACCAGTAAGCAATATTTGTTTGTATTCTCTACCATGTACAAGTTCAGTACCATACAACTACAAGGATATTTCTTCAGAATGTACGTCTTCCATTTTTGAATCCTGACAAGATATTAGCTCACCTGTCACATTTTCCAAATTTATTCTGTATTTCATCTTCATCCCACTCAATACATTCTTAAAATATTGAACATAATAACCACTAATCACTGACAACTAGCACTAAATTAAAGGAGTCAAGGACTGATAATTGGACTGAACATCTGATGATTGAATCAAATGACAAGCACTTATTGGAAGGTGACAAAAGGTGAATACTCTGGTCATTTGTAGACTATAAAATACTGGTACCTATTTTATATGGATATGTCACAAATATGTGTGTGTGTTGAAAATGTGAGAGAACAAATTTTGGATTAGAATCTCCCCACAGAATGTTGTCTTGGGATGAGTTGTCTTTGGGATGAGTTTTCAGGTATTCAAAAATACAAGCAGATAGATGACTGATGTTGATATTTTCATATTATAGTCAGCACCAGACTGAGACTATAGTAATATTTGAATGGTCACTGCCAGTAGTCTGACTAAACTTGTAATTTAAATTATAGACCTGTATGTGTAGCCTAAAATTAAGTTTTAAAAAGATCTATCTACTATATCACTAATCAGTGGCAGTAGAAATATAAGTTTGTTTTTATGTCCTTGAGATTTTTTTTGATAATGATTTTTGTATAGAAAATCACGGAATAATACATACGGGGAAAAACACACCCTAAAAAATATCAACAAAACAACATTTTCTGACATTCCAATGTATTCCATCCCTCTTACTATGAACTTAATAGTAATAGATTTTTTTTTTTTAGTTTGACAGTTACACTCACTTATAGATGTTCCATGTAATGAACAATGATCTAGACAGTCGTTTTGGAAATTGGGTGAACGTATAATAAACAATTTAATGCCTTGTTGGTAGTATAAATTCACTGAGTCGGAAATTATCACGAGTTTAAATAAAATTAACAACTCACCTCAAAAACTACGTCCTCTTCAGCCTCCATGCTTGTTATTATTGTGAGATTGACGTCATAATCTCGTACACAGCGAGACTTCGCGTGGTAGGAGCAATATGTCACTAGATTGATGACGGTATGGCAGAGGAAAATATCTAAGGAATTTTGGATTTATTTACGATGTCTTGGCAGCTAATTTTGGCCGGCCTGTTGCTGACGATACCCAATTGTTTGACGGGTATAGGGGCAAGTTTTCATTCCCGGTCAAGTAAGTTATAATTCGTTATTTGACTGTTAAATTTCTTGTTTTGGACGACGAATATCAATATGCCATGATTTGTGTGGCCACTATGTTGTTCATAACGGTAACAGTGTTAATACTGTTGTGCCCAATGTGCTAATAATACACCTTTAATCAGTGCCTGGTAGTCTTGGCACGGAATTCCTGGTACTTGTTGTACAGTCATCAAAGTAACCACCTACACTCCCACATTTGCCTGGAAGAACATTCTAATAATGGTTTCTAAAAACACAATAATTATTAAAGAAAAAAGATAAGTGTTTTTTAAAACAGAGAAGTATGATTCATATATTACCAAGGTTTAACTATCCTCTGCTGCCTGCTTATCTCAATATTAGGCCTACTTTGTTTTATTTGTAAACTTACATAATTTGGAATGAAGAGAGAAAGGAAATAAAGCAATGTTTAAGCTTATTTAAAAAATAAAACAAAACAAACATAAGCTTACATACTTATTTAATTATGCATACATGTATGTAAGTTATATTTGTATTTATGGTCAATGACCGTAACAAATATCAATTAACAATACAGCCTGTATACAGTGATAATTATTGATCTATTTTTTATTTCGGTTTAAAACTAATCAAGACTAGCTGATGACCCGGCGCTGCATGGGTTGAAAGTAGTATAACTCTGAAACCGGAAGCAGTAGCCCATGTTACTCCCTGGCCCGAGCTACCCTAATACGACAGTCACAAATATTAGATATAGACTATACATTTATTCCAGTCTCTTGAGTTGTTTGCAAAATTTTATGTATCATATATTAATCATAAACCATTGTAAGACACAATAGGGTATTATATATTAAAGTCTTACTGCTGTCAGCTTAAGGCAATACACATCAAATAATCCTTAATTAGTGGTGTTTAATTAACTGTACAATAGTAATCCCCTTCTCCATGGAATGATGAAAAAAACACCAATTAAATCAGACTCCTATAAAATTATCCTCCAATACACAAATACATGTAATTAATATATCAAACCATTGAGATGTGCAGTTGTTTTGTTTCGATTATAATGAGAGATTGTATGACTGAATGATGAAGTTTATCATTTATTTTGTCATGAAATTAGATTCTAATTATTATTAATAATAATATTAAAGAAATTTCAACAATATTCATATTTTTATTCATATGAAAATGATTTTAAATTACTAATCATTAGTTGACATATTATTATTTTGATCTATATTGTTTTTGAAGAGTGATTTTTCAAGCAAAGTCTTTTTTTGAACAGTTTTGTAGATTTCTAGATCATCCATTGGAACAACTCTAGAATAGGGGGATTAACAAGACAATACATGTAGATAACCAAAATTGTTTTTTTTTCCAAGTTTTATGGTTGAAGGAATCCGAATCATAGTCAGCTTAAGCCTGGCACACTAAGCAACAACTTAACTACATGTAGGTGGTGAGTGTGGCAACAAATATCGCCAAGATTGAAGTGGAGTGAGTCCACTACACAACGGCTTTGGCGATCACACAAAATACAAACTTTCACATGCCGCCAGCGCGTCAAAACTTCAATTAATATTATTTTTTTTACATGACGATTAGGCAGCGATATAGTCGTTTTAGTACTGTGACGTGAACTATCTGGACAAGAGATTGTACTTTGAAGATGCACTCATTATATATAGTAATCTAATTAACAAGCTTATGTTTGGCAACTTTTGTACATGTATTTATAGAAAATACATTGAGGATGAGCCCAGGAATATCTTAAGTATAATTAACAAACTCTTTACCAATTAAACAACCAAGGTGAGAGAACCAATAAGACCTGTAGAGTAATTGGCTGTTACCCTTCGTTTTCTCACTACAGGTTCGTCGAAAAGCAACCCTCATTCTGATTACCGTCTATTAATCCTTGGCCTATATTACTAATACTATTGGGTATATTGCTATATAGATGGAACAGTCCACTGGCACTAGGCCTACCGTACATGTAGGCTTACAAATATGTATTGTGTGTTTATGTCACATGAGAAAAGTGATTGGGGTTAATATGTGATTTGATTTATTGGTTGTTGTCAACTTGTCATTGAGGTGATCATTGTACACGATTTGTTGTTGTGGATGCTCTAGAGACTAAAGTTAATATCCGATTGACTTTAAATTTATTCACAGTTTTTAAGGTCATGAAATGAAAAATCCTATTGATTTTCAACGATTTCTGATAATTACTGCCTGAGTCATGGTCCTAGATCACTTTGAAAAATCTTGTGGATGCTCTAGAGGCTAAAGTTAATATCCGATTGACTTTAGATTTATACACAGTATTTAAGGTCATGAGACGAAGAAGCCTATTGATTTTCAATGATTTCCAATAATTACTTGTGGATGCTTTAGAGGCCAAAGTTAATATCCAATTGATTTTAAATTTGTACACAGTGTTTAAGGTCACGAGACAAAGAATCGTATTGATTTTCACCAATTTCCGATAATTACTGCCGTAGTTATGGCCCTTGATCACTTTGATAAATCTTGTGGATGGTTTAGAGGCTAAAGTCAAAGTTGACATCCGATTGATTTTATATTTACATGTATATACTGTGTTTACGCCTATATATAATCGTTTTAATTGACTTGAGATTGATACACAGAGGTCTTAAAAGGTTTGGAGACGAACAAGTATATTGATTTTCAATGATTTTTGATAACTTGAACAGTTAAATCCATGATATTAAATGTTTTGTACACTAAACGTTAGCATGGGCCAAACAAATTCTAATGATTTTCTGATAATTACTTAATGAGTTGTTACTCTTAATCAGATTTTAGTGTATTATAAATTTTTCATTAACGACACAAGTAAAAATATGCAACAAAACAACTGTTTTTGAGTTGCCTGGCAACCTATCTTTATAATATATGTTCAGTACTGATACAAGTGGTTAAAGAAGTTCGTCCCTGTTATATGTGTGCTCCTAACTTCAAAAGGTCAAGCTTCAAAACTGATCAATTTTCATTATATTCAGTTCAAATAGAGAGTAAAAAGTAATTATTGAAGTTTAAAATGTTCTTAAATGTTAATATTATTAATAATGTTCTCAGAACTTGTATCGGTCCCTCGAGCCATCCCCACTTTTAGATATTGAAGAAAGAATAAATTTAAGTTAATTTTTAAGTTTTAATTTAAGGCTGTCATGGATACCATTTAATTACCATAAATACTGTTTATATGAATGTTGTTTATTTCTATACATTTTTTAATTACTGTACTAGTCTTAACAAAGAAGCTTTTACCTGATTATACAAACTATTAAACCATACATTAATATATTTATTGTTTGGACCAATATGATATAATGGAGGTCTTTTTAGCATGACTACAAGCGTGAAAGAAAAGCCTAAATATAGAGATTTATATAGAAATATTGATTTCTCACAAGAGAGTGTCAATTTATCACGATCCTTGGTGTTAAGAGCCAACATGAAAAGATCACTTTTTGTTTAGAAGCGAGTTGCTCAGTTCAGTTTTAGAATAAGCCAAAAACCTAGAGATTTGGAGATTGAATTATTTTATCATACTTCCATGAATTTGTCTGTATCTATGACATAACTGATTCGAAGACAGGGAAAGGGGGGATATAGATGTAGGGTTTGATTCTCTAATAACATCTGAATACTTTTCATTGAATAGGGAATGTTTGTTACATTTGTTAGGTTCAAATACCATTTTGTGAATAACAGTAAGATTAAACTGTTTCTTTTACATCTAGGTTTTCATTTTTTCCTCAAATAATAATGATTCTACTATACTTCTCATGACCAGATTATTTTTTAAATTTTGCAACTTATATGTTTTGTTTAGATAGGTAAGATAGATTAAAAAAGCCATCAAATATAAAGCTTGCTGGTTGTTCTGGGTGTCGATGGGTATTGTGCACAAGGTATGGTATCCTTATTCTTTCAGAACACTTGATACTACATGTCACTAGGGTCATATGTGACATGTTCATGTAGCTGACCGTTTTGTTGTTATCTTGTCTTGACATTCAGGTTTACTTTGGCACCAGTAGATTTTTATTTTTTAGCCCACTCAATAGATTACAACTGTGCTAATTTAGATTTGTTCAAATAATATCGTACAACCTAATATGAAAGGGGCAAGGAGTCAAGGGCACTGTAAATAGGCAGCGCTATATATGTTCTCAGAACCAAGCAAAATCATTAATGCACATATACATGTACATGTAATCATAACAGATGGGCAGCTAAGGTCCCTTGGGCTGCTTGTCAAAAGACTTTGGCAGACAAATGAACTTTTTTTTATGTTGGGTGGTTAGGGCTGCACTGTCTGTTAGCTTTAAGCAAAATCCTAACTCTTTTTCTCAACTCACGGTAAATTACCAGCAGGGTTATTCTGTCTTTATACTACTATGTATGCAAGCTAAATTGTGCTTGCTAATGAGTTCATGAAGCTGGATCAGCGGAGTATCGAAATATTAATAATTACTAAATGTCAAAGCTTACAATCAAGAATTACATTAACTTCCCAGAGGCTCCATAAATTATTTATGTGGGAGAGAAAAGTATATTTAATTGACTTGCCATATGATACAATGAATTAGTATTTGCTTAATTTTAAAAAATATTCACTTGTTGATTATAAATAAATAAGAAATTGCTATAAATTAGTAATTATTCTTTTTTGGTTTTATAAAGTTTTGTTGACTAAGCAGTTGAATGGGAAGTGGTATTAGGTTTCCTAGAAAGAGGGGCCATTTGGTCTGCCTTCCTTTTCTGACATTGTTGGGTAACCAATACATGTAGGTCTTTGGTAAAGCGGTGGACACACAAGCCAAATGATTTTGGCCGCATCAAGCGGCATCGAAATTAGTGTGTCATTCGCCCAAATCAAACATGTTTGATATATTTGCCTATTGCATCTGCTTTGACGAGGCATTCGCCCGATTGTAGAATTTATTAGCCAGTCACCACTGATATCGA